GTTGTTGCATTCACAAAAAGCAGTAAGCAAAGGAGGAAATTACTAACTTAAAATTCATCAAATTTCAATGGTTCTGCTCCTAAAAACTAATATGTTTGGGGGGAGGGGGGAGGCTGGGAAGGGATGTGAAGGGTAAACAAAGGAGGAGGCTGCAATGCTTGGTAAGAAATGTACGCATTATCCTGCCCATGTAATAGTAACCCCTCTGTACAGTATGTTCACATATAAAATAAAATTTAAAAAAATATGTGTATTTACATAGTTACACATACCCTACACGCCCACACACAATTGGAGGCCATTTTTTATTTTGCACTTACACTCTGATGACCTCAATTCTCAATTTTTCTTTTCTGTCCATCTTATCCATCTGCCTTCATTGATACCAGAGTGTATAGCTTAAAGATAAGTCCTAGAATGAGAAGAAGCCCTGAATCATTAATAGAATAATTATAGAAGGGTATGTTTTAGAGAACACTGGCCTATAGAATATTGTAATCCAGCTGATCAGCTTCTGGTATAATATTGTCAGGTAGAACCCATGGTCTCGATGCCCTATTCAGAATTGGTGACTGGGGCAGAAGGAAATGTCAAGGATTTTTTTCTTTTTAGTCTCTTCTTGTGTTCTTTGGGAAATTCTATTTGGAAGTCTGGCCTTCCTGCTCCAGGTCAGCACAGAACAGAGAGCTTAATTAACATAGAGGTTTTTCCTTTACGTGACTTATCACTGATATCAAATGTTTTGCATTTTCTCCTTCCCCAAATGCCCTTCACTAATTCTCCAGAGCATGAAATGCTAATGTGAATATTACATTTATATGGATATTGCATGTTCAGTTTAATTTTTTATAAGCAGAACCATATTTGTTCAAAGTAGCATTCACAAAGGCAAAGAGGAGATGCCAGTTTTAGATGCCACATATAGTAAGTGAAGTTAACTGATTGGAATTAGCCATGATAGTCTCAGCTGTCTCAATATTATAAATAATATAGTATGATCCAAAGTTATTAATCTAATAAACAGTTTTTGTATATATAGTGTTTGTTTATTTAGCAGGTATTTATTGAGCATTTACTGTAGTATAGTTGGTATTTTTCTTTTTTTTTGGTCGGTCGTGGGGCTTAAACTCTGGGCCTGGGTGCTGTCCCTAAGCTCTTCAGCTCAAGGCGAGTGCTCTACCACTTGAGCTACAGCGCGACTTCCGGTTTTCTGGTGGTTTATTAGAGATAGGAGTCTCACAGTCTTTCCTGCCCGGGCTGGCTTTGAACTGTGATCCTCAAATCTCAGCCTCCTGAGTAGCTAGGATTATAGGTGTGAGCCACCAGCGCCCAGCCCAGCTAGTTGGTATTTTTCTATGTATCAGTCAGGTCACAAATGAACAAAACAGTCCAAGTCAGTGCTGTAATGGAGTGTATAACATTATTCATAGAGCCTGAGTTACCATCACTTGTGAGATGTGCTGTTATCTGATATACCACTAGGAAAGGAAATGTTCTCTAGATAGAGTGTAATAGGGTACTCTCACATGGAGCTGGGATGCTGAAAGCCTGTACCTTCAGTGAAAAGATAAACAGACCAAAAGATTCCTGCGCACAGAAGAGCACAAGAAAACATGAATGTGTCAAATTTGGCACTGTGCAAGGGTAAGAAATCTTGATGCCTGCTCCAGGATATGAACCACAAGTTGATAGTCATTACTTTGTAGTCTAAACTTTCTGTGCCAGTGTGGTCTAAACAAAACCCTTACCTTGACCATATTTCAGATTGTCTTAGATTGGTAGCATTTCTGAGCACTGGCAGAAACACATGTAAGCCTTCTGTGGGAGGATGTGGTGTCAGTCTATGCTACCTTTTTTTTTTTTTTTAGTCGTGGGGCCTGAACTCTGGGCCTGGGCACTGTCCCTTAGCTCTTCAGCTCAAGGCTAGTGCTCTATCACTTAAGCCACAGCACCACTTCTAGCTTTTTTTTTCTGCTTATGTGGTGCTAAGGAATCAACCCAGGGCCTCATTCATGCAAGGCAAGCACTGTACCACTAAGCCACCTTCCCAGCCTCTAGGCTACCAATTTTAAGATATCATCAGTATTTTAAAGAATTGTATGTTTCAGTTGTGTTAAAATTGTAACACAAATGTGCATCTTGGAATCAACAAAATATGGTACATGTCAGGCAGGAAAGTAAAATAAAGGAAGTCGAATAAGTGCAGGGCAGGAAAATGAAGCAAGCAAGGACATAAAGAGTGATGGGGTAGGAGGCATAGCTCAGTTGGTGGAGTGCTCCCCAATGAATGAAAGTGTCCTCATCTCAGACCCAACCAAAACAACAACACAAAACAGCTGGGTGCCTGTGGCTCATACCTATAAATCCTATCTACTCAGGAGGCTGAGATCTGAGGATTGAGATTTGAAGCTAGCTGGGGCAATAAAGTCCCTTGAGTCTTCCCTCCAATTAACCATCCAAAAACCGGTAGTAGAGCTGTGGTTCAAAGTGGTAGAGTGCTAGCTAGCCTTGAGCAAAAAAGCTCAGGGACTCTGCCCAAGCCCTGAGTTCAAGACCCATGACTGACAAGAAACAAGAAAACAAAACAACAAAACAAAAACCAAGGCACCTTTTCAGGGCAGCAGATTTCCAAAAGACCAGTAGTATAGTCCCACAGTGCTGGCTCTTATTTTCTAATCTTTCTGAAGTCAGAGGAAATGGGAACATAAATCATTCTTTTCCTCTTCAAAATTAACTATTCACAATTGTGTGTTTAAGCCATTGGGATAGCTGATTACTGTGCTTAAAAGGAAATTTAAGTTGCTAGTTGTAATTGTAATGAAACATAACTAATTCCAGCTGCATGGGAGGCAGCTACTTGTGAAGATTGCAGTTTGAGGCCAGCCCTGGCAAGAGGTAGCAAGATTTAGTAGGTATCCTCTTTTTCCTTCTATCCAGTGGTTTTATGTATAGAACCACCTGGGAAGTCCAACTCTTCTTTTATTGAAATTCTATAGGAGTAATGACCAGTGGGAGGAATAAAGTAAAAACTGTAGAGAGAGGACGTAGCTACCAAAGAGTAGGGAAAGAGCATCTACCACATAGGGAGATGCTGGTCAGAGGATACAAGGTTTCAATGAGATCTTTGCGTGACATGATGACTAGAGTTAATAATTTTACACTTAAAAATTACTAAGAATAAGCCATGCACCGGTGGCTCACGCCTGTAATCCTAGCTACTCAGGAGGCTGAGATCTGAGGATCTTGATTCAAAGCCAGCCTGGGCAAAAATGTCTGTGAAACTCTTATCTCCAATTAACCACCAGAAACCGGAAGTGGCGCTGTGGCTCAAGTGGTAGAGCGCTAGCCTTGGACTGAAGAGTTGAGGGACAGCGCCCAGGCCCAGATTTCGAGCCCCATGACCAACAACAACAAGAAATTACTAAGAAGAAATTGAAGGGGCTGGGAATGTGTTTCAGGTTGCACCAGTGCTTGTCTGGCAAGTGTAAAACCCAAAATTTAAAGCCCAGTACTAAATATTCTCACAACACAAAAAATAAGTATGTGAGGTGATAGATATGTTAACTAGCCTCTTTTGACCATTCCATAGCATCTACATATATCAGAAACATTATACAACATACATATGTTCAGTTTTTTTGTGAATTAAAATAAGTAAAAGAAATAACACAGAGAAGACACGACCTAGAGTTCATCTCAAATGACTGAGCTTTGTGTTCACCATGGTTCTCAGGGTCTGGAACCTGACTTTGTCATTCTATATGCCCATATATGGTCACTGCTTCCTGTGGGCTGGTTCAGCCCTGGGCAATGGTCAGCTAAAGTCATACAAACCTAAATGCCAGGGGAGGCAGAATGTAGAGGTAGGGGTTGGGTGTCCTTTTAATATTGTTTTATTTCAGAGTTTCTCCAGGTTGATTGTAACTTTTCAAAGAGCCCTTGAAATTGACTGCTTTTCTTCTTCTGAGAGGCCACAGATGGTATCTCCAGTGAGCAAGCATGTCACTGAAGATCTGCAGAAAGCTGCTCGTACCTTGGAGGCTCGGGCTTTAGTGGAACAGGAGTTGCTGCCTAAAGACCAGGCCCGGATCCTCAGTGAGGTAAGGAGTGTATTTTGACCCTCATAAAAAGAGCAGGGCCGGGCGCTGGTGGCTCACGCCTGTAATCCTAGCTACTCAGGAGGCTGAGATCTGAGGATCGCGGTTCAAAGCCAGCCCGGGCAGGAGAGACTGTGAGACTCCTATCTCCAATAAACCACCAGAAAACCGGAAGTGGCGCTGTAGCTCAAGTGGTAGAGCGTTCGCCTTGAGCTGAAGAGCTGAGGGACAGCACCTAGGCCCAGAGTTCAAGCCCCACGACCGACAAAAAAAAAAAAAAGAGCAGGACTAGCTGGGCGCCAGTGGCCTGTAATCCTAGCTATTCAGGAGGCTGAGATCTGAGGATTGTGATTCAAAGCCAGCCCGGGCAAGAAAGTCCGTGAGACTCATCTCCAATAAACCACCAGAAAACCGGAAGTGGCATTGTAGCTCAAGTGGTAGAGCACTAGCCTTAAGCTGAAGAGCTGAGGGACACAGCACTCAGGCCCAGAGTTCAAGCCCCAAGACTGAAAAAAAAAAAAAAAAGTAGGACTAGGGCTTGCATGGTAGAGTTGTTGCCTAGTAAGGAGAAGGCCCTGAGTTCAATAAAAATAAAGAGAAGGACCTTGTGGCACCAGTATTTTGGCACATAATGGATGGATTAGACAGACAGTGGCTCCCAGAACTCTCTTTGTTCCCTTTAGGGAAAGTGAAATGGGAGGAATGTTCACATTTATCTAAAGTCCTCTTGCTGTACGGAGTCTTAAATCATTGGATTGTGTTTTAACCCCCTTTTCCTGTGATAGGTTTATTTAGTATTTAAGGTAAAGATTCTAAAGAGGTGATGTTGGTTAGTAGTGGCCCCTTGCCATCACAGGTATGGAATGTAGAAATTCCTTGGATTATTATTAGTGTAAATATTATAACAATTGGCACAGGTGTTATAATACCCACTGGCACTATGTCATTATACTAACTTTTGTCTAAGGCTTTATAGTTTGTAAACATTTTGTCTGTAACATTTCATTTATTTCTAGGAACCACCTGTTTGAAACAAATACCGCTGTGTTCCCACTTAACAAATAAGGAAATTGAGGCTATGAGCTGTTAATTACCTTAGTAAGGCTACTCATATAAATTAACTGGAAGCTAAAACCATTGTTTAGCCTTTTGGAAAAGGAAGAATTCCTTTAAGCATTCTAGACAAAGTCTGATTCACTTCACTTAGCACTGCAGATAAGAAATGGAGGGCTTACGTGCTCTTCTGAAACAGATATTGTGAGAGTATGGAGTGGGAACATTACACACTTGACCTATAATTTCTCACAAATTCCAGCTTTGAACTGGATTGCTGACTCACTGCTGTGCTCTCCCTGTAGCATTAGGCATAGATTTCCTGTTCAGTTGCCTACCATCTGGAGAAGGGACAAGAAATATAGATATAACATAAAACAAGGAGCACAATCTAAATTGTAGGTTGGTTGTAGGTTGATCGCAGGCTGCTCCATGATTAGTAAGGTCTTTGATTATACTTCCATGCAAATAATTTATATTCTTCTGTCCCTGGCAGCAAATGTACTTTCAGATAGAAATTCTGAAGCTGGGGACTGGGAAGGTGGCTCAGTGGTAGAGCGCTTGCCTTGCATGCCTGAGGCCCTGGGTTCAATTCTCCAGCACCACATAAGCAAAAAGAAAAAAGCCGGAAGTGGCACTGTGGCTCAAGTGGTAGAGCGCTAGCCTTGAGCTGAAGAGCTGAGGGACAGTGCCCAGGCCCAGAGTTCAGGCCCCACGACCGGACCCAAAAAAAAATAAAGAAATTCTGAAGCTGGTGTTAAGAGGAAATTGCAGTCATTAATAGAATACTATTAGTGATACAGAGGGTGTGATGATAACCTGTACCTCAAGGTATAGGTGAGAGAGAGGGAAGAGAACTTGAAATTAGGTACTCTCTTCAGTGGGAGCTTACTAACAGGGATGTAGAAGTAACCTTGGCTGGGAAGTAACCCTAGATATAGTAGAAGAAACTCATGTAGCAGGAGGCTGTGTGACAGAGTAGGGGTCAACTGAATTCCAAGTGAGGAGCCACTGGGGGTGCTGAGATGAGACTGAGGCTTGGTCAGAAGCATTGTTGGAAGCTGAGAAGTTGATTGTGGAAAAGGATTTTGCAAAGGGGTTAGAATTTTTAAAAATATTATGTAACTTTTATAAAATTGTAAGAGAGAAGAAAGAATATTAGCCAGGTGCTGGTACCTCATGCCTGTAATCCTAGCTACTCAAGAGGCTGAGATCTGAGGATCATGGTTCAGAGCCAGCTCCTGCAGGAAAGTCCGTGAGACTTTTACTTCTGATTAACCACAAACAAAACAAAGCCAAAGGTAAAACCCTGTCTCAAGTAGTAGAACTAACCTTCAGCAAAAAGGTCAGGGACAGCACTGAGGCCTTGAGTTCAAGCCCCAGTACTGACACACCTGCTATTTTTTTTCATTTTAAACATTCTCTGGTGGCATTAAAACATAAAATTTATTAACTACTTGTACTTGGAAGGCATAATGTGGAATCTCACATTAAATCAGGGCAGAGTAGGGCAGCCTTCATCAGGAAAGAGTTTTGTTGGAATCTGCCATTCTCATCTGTCCTTTAACCTGAGTTCTGTTGTGCAGATGGCCAGATATCATGTTCCACAAAGATCTGGAGACATCATTATGATCCAGTCTGAGCATACAGGAGCTATAGATGTTCTCTCAGCTGATTTGGAATCTGCAGATCTTCTGGGTGATCATAGAAAAGGTGAGACCTTTTGAAGTGTTAAAAAGGAGGGTTCTTTGTTGCTGCTGTTGGTTTCCAGTAAATACTTAAAGGAACACAGACAGATGGTAAGAAAGAAAAATGAGTTGAGGAAAAAACATGAGAGAAGCCAGAAGAAAGAATGTCTTTGACCATGCCAATTTTCCTAAGCAAAATGCCACCTAGGGGAGTATTTCCTTGTAGTCTCTCAATTGTAAGATGTCTCTCATTTCAGCCTGCCCACCTCTGATGGCTCCTCCATGCATCTGGACCCTTGCCAAGGTGAAGGAATTCAAAAGCAAGCTGGGCAAAGAGAAAAACAACCGTCTGGTGGTGAAGCGTGGTGAGGTAGTGACCATCCGGGTACCTACTCACCCAAAGGGGAAGCGTGTCTGCTGGGAATTTGCAACTGATGACTATGACATTGGCTTTGGAGTTTATTTTGACTGGACCCCTGTCACTAGCACTGATATAACTGTGCAGGTCAGTGATTCCAGTGAGGATGAGGATGAAGAAGATGAGGAAGAGGAAGAAATTGAAGGTAAATTTAATTTTAACATCCTTGCAGTTTTCTTTTCTGGCTTAATCTAATTGTTAGTGATCACTTCCTGGGTTGTACAGAATGCATGTGAAGAACTAAAAGTCAGCCCTCAAAGAGGGTTGATAATGCCTTAATTGAAAGTGTCCTTCCTTTAATCAGAAGTTAATTGTTTCACAGACTCTCTATGAGATAGGCTTGGTGCAGGAACAGAGAGAGGGTAAGTAGGGGTTTTCCAGATCACATCCAGACCTGAGATTATTCTATATTTCTCTGTTTGGGGATGTTTATTCTTGGCCTAAAACAAAACTGGATGATTATAATTTGCTAATTGTACCCATTCTCCTTCCTTCTTCTTTACTTCATGCACAGAGCAGTTTTAATAGTAGTTTCTAGCCAAGAGCTTGTGGCTCACGTCTGTAATTCTAGTTACTAAAGAAGCTGAGATATGAGGATCACAGTGGTTCAAAGCCAGCCTGGGCAAGAAAGTCCATGAGACTCTTTATCTCCAATTGACCACAAAAGCCAGAAGTGGACTGCTAGCCTTGAGCACAAAGGCTCAGGGACAGTACCAAGGCCCTGAGTTCAAGCCCCAGGACCAACCTGAAAAAAAAAGTGATCTCTTTGCTTCATTCCTGTAGTTATTTGTAATGACTATATAGTATGGCTTTAAGGCATTTTTGGAGGTAATCTAAGAATAGGTTCTAAGCTTTAGCCTTATTACTTGCTTATGATCTTAGGATCATTCTTTTCACTTCTTCAAACCTTAGATCTTGTTTGCTGCTTTCAGGGCCTAGAGAAAGTGTTGGGATCACTCTGTAAGATGTGTTTATCTGTATTTCCTACTTCTGTTAGCTAGTCCTTTTATCTCTGAATGAAAGGATTTTATATCTTCCCCTGTAAATATCTTTTCTCCCTTGGAATTATTCAGGCACTTCTGGAGCTTATCAGGCTAAGCTACTATTTTTCAGTGAGATATTATTAGCATTTGAGATGGGACTCCTCCCTGCCCCCCTTTTTTTCTTTGCCAGTCATGGAGCTTAAATTCAGGGCTTGGTCGCTGTCCCAGAGCTTTTTGCTCAAAGCTAGTACTCTACCACTTTGAGCCACAGCACCACTTCTGGTTTTCTGGTGGCTATGTAGAGGTAAGAGTCACACAGACTCTCCTGCTCAAGCTGGCTTTGAATCGCAATCCTAAAATCTCAGCCTTCTGAGTAGCTAGGATTACAGGTGTGAGCGACTGGTACCTAGTGGGACACCCCTTTTTTACAATTTATTTTTATTGTTATTATAAAGGTGATGTACAGAGGGGTTACAGTTATATAAGTCAGGTAAAGAATGTATTTCTTTTTAGACAATGTCGCCCCTTCCCTTGTATACCCCCTTTATAAAAATAGAGGTAATATATTGACTTCAGCACACCTGGACTCTGGAGTACTGACTGTTAGTATCATTTCCTATATACTATGATGAGCAAAAAGATGGGCAGACATTCCCACATGTTCATGGAAAGGCATAGTGTTTACCAAGTGAAGGTTAGGCTGGGCTTTCATATTCAGCTAGGTTATATGCAGTCTCTGGCACTAGTATCCAAATACTTCCCTTTTGCTCCTGCAGAACCTGTCCCAGTGGGAGATGTGGAGAGAGGCTCCAGGAGCTCCTTGAGGGGTCGCTACGGGGAGGTCATGCCTGTGTATCGGCGGGACAGCCACCGAGACGTGCAGGCTGGCAGCCATGACTACCCTGGGGAGGGCATCTACCTGCTCAAGTTTGACAACTCGTACTCTCTGCTCCGCAACAAGACTCTCTACTTCCACATCTACTACACTAGCTGAAGGACACTCACCTAGGGGCAGGCTGTGTTTGCTGGTGGAAGCAGGCTGCCAGCTGATGCCTCTTGTGGATAGGCAAGAGGAGAGTGTGTGAGGCTTCTGAGCCTCACATCCTGCCTGGTATGCCTGAGTGATGAGTCTGTGTAGCTTTCTTCCCTTCTGGCTTCTGCAGGTGGTGGTGTAGTGCCCCCTGTTCTGTGGTCCCTGACTCAAGCTCTTGTTGCTTCAGGCTCCAGCAAAATCCCTTTCTGAAGGCATCTGTCAGGCAAAAGCTTAAAAGAAGGTAGAAATTGTCTTGTAGAAACTAGTTTGTGTTGGTACAAAGTTTATCATTCAGATTGCTGCTTGCTCCTTTCCAGAGCCTAATGCATTTAGTGGCACCCATCCTCTACTTTTGAGGTGCCAGTAGAGGGAAAAGCACATTGTCTATGAAAGAGCCCAAATGGAGAAACCTCTATCCAGCCTCTCACCACTGCCATATTCCTGCCTGCTGGGTATTCTTGGTCTTTAGCACGGCTGGGAGACCTCACTGCCTTGGAGGGATATTCTCATTCTTGGTGGTTAGAATCCTCTTTTCTCTTCCCCAAGTCTGTGGTTTTGCTATATATTAAGAACTCTCATGCAATCTAAACTGGTGATGAATATAATCTAAGACCTTTTGGGAAGAAAAACAGCCTCCATCACTTCCGGTTTCCAGAATTAGTTTCCCTTACCATGGTGCAGGCAGTTGAAGAACCAGTGGAAATTAGGTACTCAGTTGACCTCAGAATACTCTTCTTTGAAAGTCAAGTGTTATTCTTTTTTTTCCCTCCCTTCCCCTTCTTTTCCCTCCCCTCTCCTTTTTTGGTAGACTCAAAGAAGGAAGAATATTGTCTGAGAGAAAGTTACAAAGAAAAAACAAATACCCTACATTCCCCACTACCTGTTTTGTTTACAGTAGAAGTGTTATTTAGAAATTTTACTTTGGAACCAAGTGCAGTACAACCTCATCTATATTTCTGAAGTTTCTGGTGTTCAAAGTCCCTCTTAGGAAAGATAATAATGAAATTTCACTGTTGCTGCTGTTTGTAAGTATTCTTTACCTGGCCAAAGTTTGCATTTCCCTGCTGACAGCCTTTTTTTCTCTGTTTCCCCCTTAGGCCCAGGGGGGCCACGGAGTGCAGGTGGTGCTGGGGCCAGTGGCTGCCAGGGCTTCAGGCAGAAAGGGAGATGGGGACCTTAGCAGTCATCTGTGCCTCCTTGTTACTTATTCCTGTGTTAAGTCTGTTACTCTCTTTGCATATTGAATGGACTTATTTATTACTTTATTTATGTGGTTTGTTTAGTGCATTTCATTTTGCCCTTGAAACAGTTTCTGTTTCTCAGAAGGCATCCCACCTGCTCTAAGCTACAGAAGCCACCTCTTCTGTGAAGTTCAAGAGGATGATGTAGGAAGACTCAGGAAGTGACCATGTCAACCCTGTGGTATTTTGGAAAGAGTCTGCCCCTTCAAAGATGGATAACTCCATCCTAGTCCAAGTTTTGGCACAGCATAGCACTCCCCATGAGGAATTTTTGTGTGGTGAGGGACTCTTCTCTGAGGAAGGGGTATTAGCCAGTTACTATTGGAGCTATTGAATTTTTGCCTCCACTGATGACTTGTTTGGCTTATTCCTTCATTGTGTGGATGCCTCCACCCAGCTTCTCCTTCTTCCTTAAATAGGCACTGCAGGGAGTCCACTGAGTTCCCTAATGAGATGACCCTTCAGCAGTCTTAGTGGCATATGTGTTAGTCCAAGTAGGACAAACGTGTCTGCTCTACAGCCTCCCAGTCTCTGAGCGACATCTGTCCTCCAATGTTTTATCATTGTAAATGTGTTTGGTAGAGGGTACACTGGTCAAAACTTAGCACTTTATAAGAAATTGTTCTAGTCTACTTGGGCAGTGAAAGCAAACCTTCAGTGCTTTATACCATCAGATAGCTGAGTGACCACTCCTTTGTCAATGAAGTTGGATCATGCCTTAGCTAAGTGTAACCTTTGTATAATAATTTTCTACTGAGCTATTTTCCAGTCAGCAAAAGACTTGCTTGTTTCCTATTTGTTATTGACTTCTGATTGCCTCTCTAATGGAGTTGTCAGGCCATGCAAAGCAAGCTCCCAGGGGATAACATATGATTCACTTTTGATTTCTGCAATGAGATTCTCCTCATTTATCTTTTTAGAATCTTAGTTGTGTAGTATCAGGGAAGCCTGAGGGGCTTGTTTCCAACAGTCTGTTACTATCTGGTCACTCTTTTAAGTCCTGGCTGTGGAATTTTATTTATTTTTTTTCTTCTTCAATGGAGTATCTTTGTTCTGTTAGTACAATGTAGCTAAAAAGAAAATCCTGTGTGATGGGTTCACTATTCTCATATTAAGTTCCTGAAATAATTGACTTACAGAACAAAATACTATTTGCTGTCAGTCCCTCCCTGTTCAAGTTTATAGAACCAATGAAATAAAAATGATGTCTCTTCATCCCCATCCTGTTCTCTGGAGCACAAATAAATATTAACTATTACTTGGAAGTTGGTAGGACAGAGTTTGGAATTCTTTTTTTTTTGTCAGTCATGGGCCTTGAATTCTTCTGGGCCTGGGTGCTGTCCCTTAGCTCTTCAACTCAAGGCTAGTGCTCTACCACTTGAGCCACAGCACCACTTCTGGTTTTCTGGTTGTTAATTGGAGATAAGAATCTCATGGACATTCCTGCCTGGGCTGGTTTTGAACGGCGATTCTCAGATCTCAGCCTCCTGAGTAGTCGGGATTACAGGTGTGAGCCACTGGCACCTAGCAAGATTGGAATTCTTTACATAGATTGGCTAGTTATTAAATTTCTTTAATTCTTTTTGTTTTGGTATTTTTTGAGAGATGAGGGCTTTTAGATAAGACATTTAAAGTGTTAAAGTTTTCTAGAAAAATTAGCATATAGATTTTAAAGTTGTAAACTACTTGTTATGAAACAAGGGTAATTCTAGCCTTGTGTTCTTTTTGACAAGTACCCAGTAGAGAATGTTCCCTGCAAAACAACTGATCTCCTATGTAAAGAGCCCCTGACCTTTTCTTCTTTTTTTTTAAAGCATTTATTCAACATGGGTTACCCAGGAGGTAGCCTTCATACAAAATGGTCCTTGGTCTCCATCTTTGGAGACCATGCTGTATTCCCCACTATCGTCTTTGATCTGTGCTATTATCCTCTCTAAACTTCATGGCTGTGTGAGCATTAATTATAAAGCTGCTCTGGAAAGACTTCATTCTAATCTGTCACTTTATGACATGTCCTCAGGACTCTGTAATTCAGATTCTATCCTCAGAATAACATGTGCTTTATCATAGAAATAGACAGCAACTTGAAATTAGTTTCTTATTTTTTTTCTAAGAAATTGATTCATGCATTTTAAAACTTTTTAACCTAAGAGACATAGGAGGGACTAAATCCAGTTTTGTTTTGTTTTTTAAATGGTGAACATTTGGGAGCACCTCCTGAATAGATATAGACAAGAATGAATAAATGTTTCTGGCAAAGGGAATTCTTAAGGTTACTGAAATTTATAATATATAAATTTTGGTTTTGATGAGCTCCATCCAGTCCTTCTTTGAGAGGATTAGGAGGAACTCAAGCACTAAAGTCTCTGTTCATATTTAATTTTGAAGACTGCTTCTCTGAAAAATGTTCTATTAACCTCAGAGTCTTTAGTTAAAAGTATGGAGATGAGTGACCTTAGTATTTACCTTAAAAGATTTGTTTTGGAAGAGGGAAGGACATGAGTTAGCTTTGTGCTGCTTCAGAACTGCCTTTTAAATGGATGGCAAAGATTGAAAACAGAAGTGGAAGGAAAGGAAAGCCATGGGATAGATCTTGGAATTTTGCTTCCATCCTGCCTTCATTTAGTACTTTAGTTTGCATTTTGTTCATTGAGATTGTTCTTTAAGCCAGAGCCTTACCATTTCTTCTTGTGCTTATTGGACAATTCTCCGGTCCACTTTTGACCTTTCCAATAGTATCAGCTAAGTATAATCTTGACCTAAGGATTGATTTAATATGTTCTTTGGGACTTTCTAATGTTATGAAAAAGCATGATCAGGAAGAGACCAAAGGAATCAGTTCCAATTGTAGTACTGAGACCATAGTTGGCTTTCACTATCATCATGAAGGGAATGAAACAGGCTCACTTTGACCAGCATCATAGAAGAGCCTAAAATGATAAGAGCACAGAGCATGTTTGAGTAACACACATGTCCCACTTAGGCCAACTGTGTCCAGCAATTTTTAATCACAACACAGCAGTATATATCCAGAAACCACACAGTTTTTTTCTCCCTACTAAAGCTTCCATTTACAATTCCTTTTGGGGCTAAAAAATCCACATGATCCTTTGAACTAGTTTCTTTTCATATGGCCCAAATTGTAGGATGCTAGAAACCCAATTCTGCTGGAAGAGGAAAGAGTGATAGTCTGGCCAGTTGCAAGGAATTGGGAAGTGAGTCTCTGTAGGAAGGTGATTTCACATTGTTGCTATTGTGAGGGGCAGCTTGTTAAAGTATTTGCTGTTCAGAGAGCAAGCCATTGTCTTCATTGTGTGTTTGGTTGTGCTCAGGCAGCCATCACTCTTTTTGGGAAATAAGTAGAGAGTTAAGAATTGAAAACCAGTCACAAGCTGGATATATATGTGCTTTCCAATGATCCCAGTACCATTTGTTTCTAGTGGCCTGTTTTGGAAAATGGGAAGAGACATTTAGGCACAAACAGCTTTGACTCTTGTGTGTATGGGGTGACAATCACTGGCGTCTCTTTGCATTCTTGCCTACATAGCACTTGTACACATTCCTATATGACATCCCAGTTATCTATGAAGTTAGGGCAGAATTTATAATACAGGCTCTTTTTGAGGTGTGAGATTGTTTGCTTGAACCAAGGAAGCTATACAATCTCTTCTGTTTGAATCCCTTGACTTGAAACTGAGCAAACAGTTAGTGGTCTAAAGTCCTGCATGGTCCAGATAATATGCCTCATTGACCAACAGTCATTCCTCATCTACTAACTTTAGAGACAAACTGGCTTTGAAACTTTTGTAGTCATGGTCCCTAGTTTGAATTCATGATCTGGTTTGTATTATCTATACCTTGATTTTCTTTCTAGGCCCCAGGCATGTGAATAACAGAAAAAGGTCACTATCTCTTCCTCATTATAAGACAGAATGAAAAGTTGCCCTAGAAAACTAAAGATAGACTATTTTGTGAAATTTTATAGTTTTATGCAGGTAGTTTGGGATTTTCTGTGGGTAAAATAATATATAGATATATCAAATGACTTTCAGGGACCAAGTGTATTTTCTAAAGTTCTGCTATAGGATCATGAACAATTCTAAAGTTTGGGATTGAAATATTACTATAGTATTACTGAAGGGCCTTCAATTCATTGTCAGTTTAAGACTCTTCTTAAACTCCTTATCACTCAGGGTTGAAATGTCTAGTTGAAATGTCCTCTTGTTGTTACTGTTCTTAGGTTCAGTCCAGGAATTTGGAAAGCATTCTCTTAGTTACTTCTCTTATGTCCTGAACTCTACATCTTAGTAAGAAGTTTCACACAATTTGTTTACCTTTCTAAAATTAGTATCCCATAAGTGAGTTAACTTTCATGTAACGAATCAGAGTTATTTCTATTTAGCTATTTTATAGAACAAGTATGATGTAGAGAAAGTAATCCCATGGTATACTCATTTTCCCTTAATAATAATGGGAAATGTTTAATAATTTTGAAAAAGCATTTATAATTGCTTTGTAACCAGAGTAATGGATTGTAAAAAAGCAGAGGGTAAGGATAATGGGAATACAAAGAGGTCTTAGAGTTCCTAAATCACATTCTGCCATTTAGCTTGTATTCCAGAAGGGCCACACACTCAGTTATCTCTGAATTGATTGAAAAGTTCCTGGTAAATATGTAAGCAACTAGCAACATGAAGACATTATTTCTTTATTGTTCTAGATCAAACACTGATACCAACATTATCAAAGGAGTCTGGAAGGGAAACTATATCAATTTTATCTTTTTTTAAAATTGTAAGTCCTAAGATCATTTATTATAATCAACTTGTTTTAAGATCTCGCCCTTCATAAAAAATGCTATCAATACTGATTTCCACATTAAGAACTTTGTACCAAGTTGTTAACTTTGTATGTCCTGCTGAGTGGTTTTTCTTTAAAATATCATATTTTCTTACCCTGTGGCACTGAATGTGTTGCTGTGATACACTGATTATCCTGAGCTATGATTCTTTGAGTAGCTCAGTTCTTGTGTTTTTATATTATGTAACAGTTTTGTGATGCTTTTGTGCATTGTCTTCTCTTCTGGGTTTTGAAATGTCATAATAAACTTTTTCACTGTGCACCTGAAACGTGAGTATCTTAGTGAACCTGATTTGCACTTTAAACTTGTCTCTCATCTTCTCCTTTTTATCTGAAGAAAGGTGTTCTATGAATACATGTGTTATAATCTATAAATATAGATGTGTTATACATCTATATATATATCTCTATATAGATGTTATAATCTATAAACATAGATCATAAAAAATAAAAAATGAGTATAAGATTAATAATAGATCTTTCATTTGAATTTAAATTCATAGCAGAGTATTAAGAACCAGGAGCCAGATTTGGAATTCAAGCAGTAGTTTTGTGGGGTTTTTTTCAGCCAACAGCATTTAGATAATTTTTTGTCAGTGGTGGGACTTGAACTCTGGACCTGGGCGCTTAATTTTTTGTCAGTGGTGGGACTTGAACTCTGGACCTGGGCGCTTCCCTCAGCTCTTCAGTTCAAGGCAAGTGCTCTATCACTTGAGCCACAGCACCACTTCTCAGTTTCTGGTGGTTATTTGGAGATAAGAGTTTCATGGACTTTCCTGCCCAGACTGGCTTTGAACCATGATCCTCAGATCTCAGCCTCCTGAATAGCTAGGATTACAGGTGTGAGCCACCAGCACCCGGCTAGCATTTAGATCTTTTTTTTTTTTGGGTCCAGTCGTGGGACCTGAACTCTGGGCCTGGGCGCTGTCCCTCAGCTCTTCAGCTCAAGGCTAGTGCTCTACCACTTGAGCCACAGCATCACTTCCAGCTTTTTTTTTTGTTTATGTGGTGCTGAGGAATCGAACCCAGGGCCTTAGGCATGCAAGGCAAGCGCTCTACCACTGAGCCACCTTCCCAGCCCCGTAGCATTTAGATCTTTACAATATTATTCACAGGAGTAATAGAATGGTCAGTTCAGGCAGATGAATATAAGGAGCCTATGTGTCTGTGATATATTAAATAATCCCAAGAGCTGATATTCCCCACTCTGGTTCATAGGGATGATTAATAAGTGGAACATTGTTTTAAGATTAGTAGGCGGAACAAGATTTTGTTTTTGTTAACACATTACCTCTTCACAACCTTGGGTCCCTTACAGAAGTAATTGCATCTGAGCAGGGAGGAGTGCCATTTAAATATCCTGTTCTGTGATATTTAGGACTCCAAGATAAACCTGTAGATCATTCTCTATTTTCCTTTGCAATATATTTTAGAAGCTAAAGTACAAAGATGGGATCTCAAATAACTATGAGATAAATGGACATAATCTGGTGATTAAAGTATGCCACACAATAAAAAAGCCCAGGTGGATTACATAGCAATCTTTAATAAATCATGCTTGAGAGTCTTATAAATAATGTCACTGTCAATATATAATAGAATTAAGCTCTTTAACTTTAAAACCATTCATATCTGTCATATCACTGACTATGCCATAGTTCAACATTACATAAGACAGCTTGATAATTACAGTTACTAGCATTCTTGATGTTCTTGAAGCTATGCAGTATTGGTTTAAACTCAGCAGTTAATCTGAATATTCTCCCAAAATAGAATGGTGCCTGTGACCTTGGAATCAAGAACTAAGTAAGTTATGTTTACTGGTTGGGAGAGAGTATTTATCATCTACTTAATCTAAGAAGTTTGCCTCTTGGTGGTATTTTCCTTGGAAAAGAAAATCCTGTGTTTTGGGGTATTTCCTTGGTGAGATTAGTATTTGAATGGGTGGACTCAGATGGTACTCCCCATTGTGGGTGGGCATCGTCCAGTTTATTGAGGGACTGAGGAAGGTGGAAGAAGAAAGAATTTACTCTTTGATTTCTTACCTTATGGCTTCACACTTCTTGTTTCCTCTGGCCTTAGATTTCCATCAGTGATGCCTATAGTTAGTTATTAGGCCCTTGGCTTCCCAAGTTTTCAGATTGCAAGTGGTAGAACGTGGAACTTCTTTGCTTCTATAACCATGTGAGGAAATTCCATATGATAACTCACCCACCCTCATATATCCTCCTGGTGTCCTGCCAGAAATATCATGGACTCCAAGGATCTCTGCTGCTTTCACAGTGAACCAAGAAGGAGAGCCACAGCATTTGTTCCCTACTGTCCTCACGTTGGACACATCAGAAAACTACAGTTCTGTAGTTCCTATTGAACTATAGAACATGGACAATGTGACAACTATGTAAAATGAGTCTTGTGCATTAAATAAGGGATGCTGTTTCTTACACTATTTTGATTTGGAATCAGTAACACCTCTATGTTTTGGCGACCAGGTTTAGAATGTCTGAGAAAGCCCTGTTTAAGGATATTTTTTTTTTTTTTGGTCAGTCATGGGGCTTGAACTCAGGCCTGGGCACTGTCCTTGAGCTCTTTTTTTTTTTTTTGTCAGTCATGGGCCTGAATTCAGCCTGGGCTGTCCCTCAGCTCTTCAGCTCAAGGCTAGTGCTCTACCTCTTGAGCCACAGCACCACTTCTGGATTTTTCTGCTTATGTGGTGCTGAGGAATTTGAACCCAGGGGCCTCATGCATGCAAGGCAAGCATTCTACCACTGAGCCACCTTCCCAGTCCCTCTTAAGCTCTTTTGCTCAAGTCTAGTACTCTACGACTTTGAGCCACAGCTCCATTTCTGTGGTTAACTGGGGATTAAAGTCTCATGGGGTCATTTCTGCCCAGGCTGGCTTCAAACCATGATCCTCAGATCTCAGCCTCTTGAGTAACTAGGATAGTATCCAGCAAGGTTAATACTAGGTACTTCAAGAGACCTAAAATGAAATATGGAACTCCTAAAAGCCATTTTGAACAGATGGGCAGATAAGCAAGTTATACAGATTTGGGTGGCAGATTTAAAGCTGACCAGTTAATATTTGGGGAGTACATGGAGGGACAAAAACTCAGAGCAGGGTGCCATGTCTGTATTTCAGATAACCCCATGCATGCCTCATGGCTCCCATGAACTCCTGTACGTTGGCAGAATGAATGGGAAAGGTAATCCATGGCTAGCTGGGATTGAAGCCACTGGATGGTTTTCTAGGAATGATCCCAGGTCACCTCACTATTCCTAGTACTCTGGAATCATTCAGGGAAGATGAATGATTTGTTTGTTCCTTGTTCTAGAAGTAGATTTTACCCACTTCTCAGTTCCTGGAAGTCTCTTGTACTTTTGTTTCCTGGGAAGAGAAAGGAGAGGAGAACCTGGGCACTTGAGCCCTGAACAGGGCTCATAAAGGCACTTTTTTTGAGGGGGGGGTAGGGCTTCATGGATTTCTTCTTGGTAAGTTTCAGTACCACTCCTGAGATCCAGCATTTACACATGCATACTGAGTCTGTTCTGCTTTTTCCTCTTCTTCCAGGATAGGGGATGATCAGAGCCAGGGATTTGTGTGATATGGTCTATAATCCAGAGAAACCCCTTGCCTTGCCTTCCCCCCAGAGTCAGGCCTTTTGTCTTTTGTTAATTTTTCTTCTTGCTGACACCATTTAAGCTTGGCCAAAGGGGTAAGGCCTGTGGAGCCCCTTACTATTAGTCCCAACTGATAAGTTGCTCGAATGACTGCTGGGGAACAGATTTACAGAGTTCTGTGAGAGTATTCTGATCTTGCTCAGTTTGGTCAGGAGAAGGAGCCCATGTGCTTTTGCTGATTGAGTCGAACCCGGAACCCCCAGGGTCTAGGTTGTTTTCATCTGATTGTCGGTTCTCTTGGAGAGAGGCAAACTGGTTGAAATTTCCTTCTACTTTGCAACGTGGCTGTGTGTTGAATTCCTTTTCAAAAGATGACAGCTGCTATGGTACTCCTAAAAGTCCACCCACCTCCACACTGAGAATCACCTAGATGATATCTCAATAGTAGAGTCCTGTGGTGGTGCACATCCACCACTGTCCCTAATACATTCCTGCTCTGCTAGGGCTGTAGCATTCTCACCATTCCCATGTTCACATGGCCAAATTGGTTTCCCCAACATATTTAAGACAAACTCCTGGAGGCCAGGCTTCTGCCCCAGAATTCTGAATTCGCCATGTTTTTATAAATCGAGTATCAGGAGGTATTGACTCCTTCTCCTATGGTGACATCTTCAACGAAGGATATAGAGGGCTCGCTGATGTTTGGGCTCTCAAAGTCATAATAGGAGTCAATAAGTACTAGTTGGTCATGTCCAGGAAGAAGGCGAAGGCGGCCAGGTTGAGCTGGAAACTGAGCAGCCACTGGAACTAAAGATCTGAGCATGTCCTTGTCGGTGGTGCCCAGGCAGCTGAACTTCTGCATCATCTCCGGGTCCGGGTCCGGGTCCATGCCCTCCGTGGTGGGGGCTGGCCAGATGCTCACTTCCCCCTTCCTCAAAAGCAAGCTGCTGCCAAGTTGCCAAGCCAAGGACTGGGAGAGGCCCATTGGTGGCTGGAGCTGTGACCCTGGTCCTCTGAGGTAAGCCCTGAGCCCATCACTGCCTCATAGAGGTAAACTCAGTCACTCTCACCTCACTCTTCCCCCGCACCTCTGCCTTTGTAGCCTCTGTCTTCCATAAAGGCACTATTTTAATCCCAGCAGTGCCCATGTAACCAAACCCAGCCCAGTCCCTGAGCCTGGCCTGCTGCTCCCCTCCCTCTGTTTTCACCATCTCTTGAGGCCCAAGAAGGCTGGTTGGTATGGGAACCATATGTACATATGAGAAGTGTCTCTTCCTTTCCCCTGAGTCCACTCTCCATTTAAAAATCCACAGGAGAGCTGGGAAGGTGGCTCAGTGGTAGAGTGCTTGCCTTGCATTCATGAGGCCCTGGGTTTGATTCCTCAGCACCACATAAGCAGAAAAAGCCGGAAGTGGCGGTGTGGCTCAAGTGGTAGAGTGCTAGCCTTGAGCTGAAGAGCTGAGGGACAGTGTCCAGGCCCAGAGTTCAAGCCCCACGACTGACCAAAAGAAAAGAAATCCACAGGAGTTCTAATCACCTTTAATTTCAGATTTCTAAATCAAAAGTTGATTACTCCTGCTTATAGGGAAGATTAGTCTTTTTTTTTTTTGGTCTGGTCGTGGGGCCTGAACTCTGGGCCTGGGCGCTGTCCCTCAGCTCTTCAGCTCAAGGCTAGTGCTCTACCACTTGAGCCACACCGCCACTTCCAGCTTTTTTCTTTTTGCTTATGTGGTGCTGAGGAATCAAACCCAGGGCCTCATGCATGCAAGGCAAGCGCTCTACCACTGAGCCACCTTCCCAGCCCATGTCATAAGATTCTTAAGGAGGGAACCTGCCATGCATTTCAATAGCCCCACTTTGAGGCATGATACCTTCCATGGGGATGGTGTAAACTTATACAGTATTGAAGGACCAATGGAAGGAACAGATATACCACATCTGCCAGTTAAGCTGCCTCCTCTCAGGAGCAAGGATCTAGTCTACCCAGGGTCACCTGGGCGGCAGGAAGCATGGTTAGAGGCATTTTATTGTTTTCTTCAACCCTCTATGGTCCAGGCCAGGGTGTTCCTTGGCCAACTGAGGAAAGGTATGCTTGGATGCTATCTCAGTAGCTGAAATGGGAGACCTAACTAAGGGGGAACCAGAAAGAAGGGTGGAGGATGAAGTCTTTACCTTTCAGCATTGGCCACCTGGGGCACTAAACACAGATCAGCCATGGACACCTGAAAAGGGGGTTGGATGAGTTTGTGTCAGGGTAAGAACCCCAGACTCACTGGCCAGGCTAGGTGTGCCTATTTAAACTGGCCTTTCCATCTGCTCTGGCTCTGCCACCGTCTCTACCATCCCTCCTACCACTCCCCTTGGCCTGCCTCTCTCTCCCCCAGAGCTACAGCTTCTCTTAGACCATGCTCTAGTCCCCTTGACAACAACTCTGTGGGTCAGAGAAGATGGGAGCATTATGCTGGATGTCAGTATGTTCATTAAAGTTACCATTGCCAGGTACTTAGTGAGAATTCCCAAAAGGGAGGCAATACCTCAAGGCCCCAGGAACTAGAACAACCACAGGTCCAAGGCCTGCCAAGGCAAAGACACTGAATCTTCAATCTCAGAATTGGGTGAGATGGAAAACATCTAGTCTAACCCCTCAGCTGATGCCTTAACCACCTCATCATCTCAGAGGTGCAGTCTTTCAACTTGGATACCTTATGCTTCCTCTTCAAGAAGCTTGGGAGGCATTAATGGGCTGTGTAGTTCCCTGACTGGCACAGAAATCTAAAGAAGAACCCATGCCACCCTGTAAGTGTCTCTTCAGGAAGTTCTACATTCTGCCTGTCCAGAGAAGGAGGAGGAGATGGTTGAGTATAAGTAGAGAAAATGGAAGCTCAAGATCATCATGAGGGAGGAGATTGCCATGGGCAAGACAAAGAACACTTACCTCGTCTCCAACACAGTACTTCCCCGCTGTGCTCTGCAGAATCTTCTCCAGAGCTGTGGGGAGGCCAAAGGAAATCATCTCACTCTGGGCACAGGAAGGGAACACCAGCCTTCCTAGGACTTGGCTTCCATAGGTACAAAATGGGCAGCTATTGAAGTGACAGGTTAGGGCATGGGTGCTCGTGAGAATATGGCAGCTAGGCCGAAAGAGAGTACTTGGGGACAAACTCATGTTTCTCCTGGGGCCTCAAGCCCAGGCACCCATTCCCTTTACAAGGCATGAGTAGACAAGAGTATATCAGACCTATATCTGGCCAAGATTGCAGCTTTCACACTGGGGAGCTTGATTTCACAGTGGTCTTGATTTCTTGGTTGGGGTGGAGAGGAAAGCAGAAGCAAGAGCCCTCATCCAGCTCTGTAGAGACATGGACCTTTAGTCTGAGGCTCCCAGAAGTACTATATCCTGGTACTATGCTAAGATGTCTACCCATCTTTGCTCTTCTCTGTGCCACTATCAAGACCAAAGCAGTCTGGGAGGTTGCAGATGCTTAGTGCTCTGTGTGCAAGGGTGATTGCTCTAAGAGCTCAACAAGTGGAAACTCACCATCAAAGCCAGAAATGATGACCTTCTGGGCCCAGGGTTGTGGGTTATCTCCCATCTGCTTCAGGACAGACAGGTTCTGTGCAGCCAAAGAAAAATCTTCGATGGCTTTGAGAGCCAGCCAGAGTCAGCCCCTCAGGCAACCTCCCTCAGGGAAGCTCAGTTCTGGTCTGCCTAGGCTCAAATCCGCCTTTCCTACCTAACACGGCCCTGAAGTTGCAGGAAAGTAGCTTATCTGGCAGTTACTCCACCAGGTGCTATAGTTAGTCTGAAAGCCAGTCATTCTGGAAGCCATGTGTAAGAGTAAGGACACAGGAAGTTGCTATGGCCACATAGCCTGAGGGCTATTTGCCCCACACCCAATGCCTGTCCCTTACTTCGGTCCTTGTGACCAGACTGAATGTAACACAAGATAGGGCTGGGATGAGGAAGGACTGATTTCTAAAGATTTTCACTCTAGTGCAATTCTCCCCCCCCCTTTTTTTTTGGTTGGTTGTAGGGCTTGAACTCGGGACTGGGTACTGTCCCTGAGCTCTTCAGCTCAAGGCTAGGGCTCTACCACTTGAGCCACAGCGCCATTTCCAGTTTTCTGGTGGTTTATTGGAGATAAGAGTCTCATGGACTTTACTGCCCAGGCTGGCTTTGAACCATGATCCTCAGATCTCAGCCTCCTGAGTAGGATTATAGGCATGAATCACTGGCACCTGGCTCCCTTTTGTTAAAACGAAAAGATGAGGAGCTAGGAATGTGGCTTCGTGGTAGAGTGCTTGCCTAGCATGTATGAAGCCTTGAGTTCGATTCCTCAGTACCACAAAAACAGAAAAAGTTGGAGGTGGTGCTGTGGCTCAAGTGGTAGAGTGCTAGCCTTGAGAAAAAGAAGCTCAGGGATAGTGCCCAGGCCCCCAGTTCAAGCTACAGAACTGGCAAAAAAAAAAAAAGATGAGATAGAAGTGGAAATGTGTATATAGGAGTTCTGGGCTTGATCCTACCTGCTGTGTTATCTGGTAAAGTCATTCTACCTTTCAAAGTCAGAATTAGAACAGATGAATGGTTTTAAGTACTGCTTTTCTGTTTTACTAGTGAAAATTTTTTTTTCATCATATAGACGTACTTCAGAGATTGTGGCTTAGTTCCAGACCATGGTAATAAAACAAATCAGGTGAAATTTTTGGTTCCAGAGTATTTATAAAAGATTTGTTCACCCTACACTGTGGTACTAAGTATGCAGTGGTGTAAGTCTAAGAAAAATGTACTATCTTTCATGTGTGTCTTTCATTTATGTGGTACTGAGGATTCTAACTTGTTAGAAGTCTAACTTGTTCTACTATCTGAGCCACATACTCCAGGTCTTTTGCTTCAGTTTGTTTTTCAGATAGGGTCTAGTTCTTTTCCTTTGGACCTCCTACCTAAGTGTCCCAAGTAGCTGGAATTACAGATACATGCCCCCACACCAGGCATGGTGACTCAAGTCTGTAATCATAGCTACTTGAGAGGCAGAGATGGGGTTCTGGGGCAGGGGGAAAGAAATCAAGGCCTGTCCAGGCAAAAAGATCACAAGGATCTTTGATCATGAAGGTCATGATCCAGACCAGCCTAGCCATAAATGTTAGACCCTACTCAAAAGAGAAAAGGACTAGAGGCATGGCTCAAATGGTCAGATGCCTGCTAGGCAAATACAAGGCCCTGAACCAATAGTACCGCCAAGACAGACACACACACACACACCTGCTAATAATCATCTGTTGGGAATATGTCACTAGACTTTCTCAATGAAGGATTTCCCCAAATCTTCAATTTGAAAATGCAATGTGCAGGAAATGAAGGAAAGTACAGTGAAACTAAGTATGCCTGTCTGTGATTGAACAAATTAGTTAAATGCTGCAGGCCTAGCTCTGAGCCTGCTCAGCCCTCCCCACCTAGAACATCTCTAGATGTGTCCTTGGAAACACAAGGTTTCTCAGAATGCAGTCAGAAACCAATTGCTCCCACCATGAGTCTGGACACCTTTACTGGACATCCTTCTCTGGACACCTCACAATCTGAATGGAGATGAATGTGAGAGGAATACACTTGTAAGGGCTCACCTGTAAAGGCTGGATGCCACTACTGATGAGGTCAGAAATCATGCGCACACTTGCCTTCTTCTTTGGGTCCTGAGGCAGGAGACGTGGAGTGGGCCGAGTTTCCTCCAGGTACTCAATGATGGCCAGCTGTCCACAGGAGAGATTGAAGCAAAGAGAAGGCATGGGACCTCTGAACTAGAGGAGACAAGTCCAGCAATCTCCTCCTCTTCCTCCAATGGAATTACCATCATCTCCTCCTTACCCCTCTCAGCTTAAGCACTGTTAAGCCTTTTTGGACCTTGTTCTACAAAACTTGGATTACTATAAACTCCCTAAGCAACTTATCTCTCTCTTCCTCTGAAGAAATATGCATTGAGACCCTACTACATGACACCAGGTTCTCTTATTCACAGCCCTGCTCCCACCAGGGGTCTCCCAGGAGTCCTATACTCACTGACTGGCCAATGATGATTCCATCAATCTTCAGGGCTGGCACCTGCTTCATGGGATTCAGTGCCTCAAATTCCTCAGAAAACTATGGAGACAAGGTTGGGTCAGTTGGGTAACCTGGCGTGAGCTGTAGAGAGCTGAGTAAGGCAAGCCTTTGCCTATGCCTGACATCCATCCATAACTCCTTTCCTTGGAGAAGGCATACCTCTCAAGTTAATCTCTGGTGGATCTGTGCAGTATTCCAGACCCCAGCGGCCACTGAACTGTGGGCTTCATCCCGAGAGCCTGGCTATCATTTTCCCCTTCATGTCACATTGTAGTCCCCAAGGCAACTCCTACCCTAGCCAGCCATCAAGAGGACCCAGTAGGGGGCAAGGACCCACTTGCTGCCCGCCCTAATGTAGTCAGGGATTGGAGTGCTCAGATTATAGCTGAGCCTAGAACCTGAGCCTTCCCATAGTTCCTATTTGCTAGGCAGCTTGCCACCTTGTCTCACAAGGGAGAAATAGAAGCATCCTCTCCCAGCCAAAGAGAAAATATCACATAGGTTTACTTCTTGAGGGCAGACCTCCTTACCTAGCTCCTCGCTGAGATCCAATTCTTACATCTTGGTCTGGGAAAAGCTTCCTTACCTGTTGTCCCCCATCCTTTATGAGATTGATGGGTACTGTCTCATAGTTGATGCCTTTCAAGGCCAGGGCTATAAGAGTCCAAAGACAGGAGTAGGAGATAGCTGTACTAAAACTCCCAAGGCAATCTTCCTGGGTACGTACGGTTGCTGAGGGGGTGGTTTTTCTACACTTCAGGGTGGTTAGTGCCCAGCTTGGTACTGTCTCCTCTCTAAAGAAGGTGACTCCGGTGGTCAGTTTTTCTCCCTTCTGTAGCAAGGTAAGGGTAAAGGGCTTGGGATGGACCCAGTAGAGACCTCAGGTGTGTGTGCACATGCACACTTGGCTGTTGAAACATGGTGATGTCTGGTCTCTGGAAAGGAACTAGGTGAGTAGATGACTGGGTGTGTCACAGTATGAAGAGAACCTGGGATGCTCTGACTACCTCCATCATGCACAGGGAATGTGGTTGGAGCCCAGAGGGAAGGCTCCTACTACAGTGGCTTCTGGCTCAGCCAGAGCAGAGGATCTAAGAGAATGGGTGTCTTTTTTTTTTTTTTGGTGCTAGTACTGGGGTTTGAACGCAGGGCCTTAGGCACTGTCTCTGAACTTATTTTGCCCAAAGCTAGTACTCTATCACTTGAGCCAGAGTTCCACTTGCAGCTTTTTGGTGGTTAATTGGAGATTAATTTTCTTGCCTAGCCTGGCTTTGAACCTTAATCCTTTTGAGTAACTAGGATTACAGGTGTGAGCTGGCAATTGGGATGTCTTCTTGGAGGCAGGTTTCTCCCACACTCAGTGTTCCTGCTTACTGGTTCTGCAAATCCCAGTCATGTAGCTGTGGGATGGTGGCTTTATATTTAGGGTCAGGGTCTGGAGGCAGGCAATGTTGGGTTCCAATTTCATCACATTCATTTGCAAATTGTGTAACCTTGGATCTGTGCCCTGAAGTTAAAAGCACAAATTGGCTGAGGTTGCAGCTCAGTGAAAGAGCAAGTCCTTAGCATGCAGGAGATCCTGGGTTCTATTCCTAGCACCAAATTCAGTCAAACCAAACCAAACCCAGAGGGTGGTACCATACTACAGGGTTCAGATTTTAACTCTACCTCTTAGTAGCTGCAAGATGGTAGGTAAGTTATTTAACCTTTCTCTGCCTGTCTACCTGTTGTACAATGGAGACAACAGTCCTTCCTCCAAGGTCATGGAGGTTGCAAGGAAATCACAAAAGCAAAGCACTGGGCACCAGTGCTTCTATGACTGTGGATGTTGCTAAGAGTCACTTTATTTTAGAGAGGGGAGGGTCAGATGAGGTCTATACTAGAGGGACCTAATTTTGGCTTCCCTAAAAGCTCTGTAGTCTTCACAGTCCAGTTCCATTTAATTTGCCAGGTAAGAATTGAGGGAGGCCAGCTGTTCCCCAACTGGTTAACAGGGACCTTTGGGTTTTGTGACCCTGCTCTAGGCATGGTTGCTGAGGGGCTTTGGAGAGCAGTGCGGGGAAAAGTGACAGTCTTGACAGGAAAAATAACCCTTCTGCCTCATAGTTCTCTTGCTGGATTTCCTACATGGAGGTGCTATTTGGGGATGGGCGCTCAGAAGTCTAGAGATGCTAGTTGTTAAGAACTAAGGCCTACCTAACAGAGAACCCCTTCTGTCCCAGGCCAGCTTTACACCTGATGGTTCTCCATCCTATCCTACCCATCCCACCTATTCCAGGAGTTCAGTTCTTACTTACCAATTCGAACTCTCCATGAGCAGGAGCTTCGGAAATAGGAGTAGAGGATGGGCTGAGGAGAGAGAGGACAAGTGCATATATATGAACTCAGCCTCAGTAGGTATCCAGCTTCAGGGGCCTGGAGACAAATAAGGACCAGCCCCCAGGCTAGGGGGTCAGATTGGCCTCTTTCCTCAGGCCTGTATCAGACTTTCTGGTTCAGAGACCCTGAGAGTTATAGAAGGTCCCTCTCAGCTCTTGATTGCGCTGGCATGAGTTTCTGAGGTCCAAATTGCACTCAAGGAAGGCAGCAGCCTGGAAGTGCCCACCTTACCTTCCCAGAAGCAGACATGGTGCAATGTGAGTGACCTTTAGCCTCCCAAGCACAGTCTCCTTTCATCTGGCTGTGGGGTAAGGGGAGGAACCCTGAGGGGCAGAACCCATGAGCCAATGGTGAAACTGGGCTACCCAGAACTTTGGCACTCGAACAGGGCATGTCTCCAACTTCAGGGAGGTGTGATATGCTCCTGGTGTAGACAGGTTTGTAGTAGCCTGTGCAGACATTGTGGCCTGGCTTAGAGGCAGCAGTTTGGTGGTGGAGTGGGCTAGGAGTTGTTACACCTGGGGGTCTGGCACCCATAGACCAGCCAGCTTGTGTACCTGCAATAACTCTAACTTCCATAGCCTGCTTGCCCTAAATGATGGCAGAAAGACTGGGGATTCTAATTACCCCCACCCAACTCCAATTTTGAGTATTTAAGTATCACAATAGACAAACACCTCACCTTGTAAACTACCATCTACCAGCACACCACATGATATAAACTGGTATTTTATATCAATGAAAATTTAAATCCATACATATAACAAACCATAGTGGAGACCCTAAAGACCTGGATTTCTTAATCACCCCAGATAGAACCCTCTTACATGAGGCATAAAAGAAGAAACCCCAAGACTAAGATATGGCCGGTACCAGTCACCAGTCACAAGCCTTGTGTAGGAAAACTGCCAAAGTGAAAAACCTTTGTCTCCACTCTGAAGTCCAGCGAACGTGCCGTTTCTTCTCCCCATGGCACAGAGCTCACTAAGTTGACACCTGAAGTGGCCTTCCACCCAGACCTGCACTTGAACGACTCTGTGCCTGCAGTTCGATCTGGTTCCCCACAGAGACGTTTTGTGTCTGTAGCAGCACATGCTCTGTGCCTTCAGCACAGAGTTTGAGCTGTGTGGTCGCGTTAGTCCTTTCTTATCATTTTTTGTATATTACTGTGTGAAGTGTAATGAGTGAGCCAATGGCTCGCAACTACAAATGAACTCAGTAGTACTTGAATTAAAGTGAATAAAATATGTAACTTGTGGATTTATCGTGTTTATTTTACATACATATCTTATTTTCACAAATTCCAAAAGGTTGCACAAGAAGGTTACAATTTAATGTGTCCATTTACGGGTCCTGTGCTCTTCCATTGGATTGTTACTCAATTAATTCTGACATTGGGGAAAGACACAGTACGTTTGTTTCTGAAACAGCTTGATCATGATACCTCAGAATTCTCCTCCTCCCACTCCAGAGTGCCTCCTGACTTCCAGCCAGCCAAAGGCACGGCTGCAAGCTCTTTGCAGAGGTCCTGTCTAACCCTCAGGTTTTCTGTGTAGTCTACACAGTACAAGTGGCCCCTAACTTACAATGGTTCAACTCTTGATTATTTGACTTTATGAAAGTCCAAAGTGATACACATTCAGTTTAGAAACTATACTTCAAAGTCTCAATGTTTATCTTTTCCTATGCTGTAATGCTCCCTTAAAATGATGGGTTGCAGCTGTGAGTCTCAGTTATATAATGGGACTGACCACAAGAGGAAATGGCTTATCTACAATATACTGTGCTGCCAGTGATGTTTGCATATTATATCTTATGACTTATAACCCATCATGTCTACAAAATGCCCATCTGTGGGTCTTGGGGTATAACTCCGAATACTTGCTTAGCACATGCAACCATACAATCTCTTGGATTGAACAAAGAAGTGTATACATGAGATTTTTCAACACTTTATCATTAAACTAGTTGTTGCCTGAGATCATTGTATACAACTGTAGGCTAATGTAGATATTCTGAGCATGTTAAGGTAAGCTAGTTTAAGTCATGAAAATTAGCAGGTTAAATGTACTACATTTTTAATTAAAAAAAAACTTTTAAACCAGTATTTGGGCTTGATCTCAGGGCCTGGGCGCTGTCCCATAGAATTTTTCTCAGGGCTAACAATCTACCACTTGAGCCTCAGCTTCACTTCTGGTATTTGGTGGTTAACTGGAGATAAGAGTTTCACAGATATTACTGTCCTAGCTGGCTTCAAACCACAATCCTCTAAGGTTACACACCAGTGCTGGCCTTTTAAAATAATAATTTCTGACTTAACAATCTTTTCAACAGCGAATGGCTTTAACAGAATAACCCCATCAGAAGTAAGGGAGTGTCTATATTTTAAAAGGTTTCACTTGCCAACATTTAAAAATCAGGATGTTTACCTGGCATTGATGGCTTACACCTGGATCTGAGGACTAAGGTTCAAAACCAGCTCAGGAAAGAAAGTCTCTGGGAGTCATATCTTCAGTAAACTACCAAACAAGGCAGAAGTAGAACTGTGGTTCAAGTGGTATGAATGCTTGAGCAAAACAGCTCAGGGGTAGCATCCAGGCCCTGAGTTCAAGCTCTAGGACCTGTGTACACACACACACACACACACACACACACATTCAGGGGTGGCATCCAGGCCCTGAGTTCAAGCTCTAGGACCTGTACACACACACACACACACACACACACACACATTCAGGGGTGGCATCCAGGCCCTGAGTTCAAGCTCTAGGACCTGTACATACACACACACACACACACATTCAGGGGTGGCATCCAGGCTCTGAGCTCAAGCTCTAGGACCTGTGTACACACACACACACACACACATATTCAGGGGTGGCATCCAGGCCCTGAATTCAAGCTCTAGGACCTGTACACAAACACACACATACACACACATACACACACACACACACACCCCACACACACCCCTGGAGTCAGTGGACTCAGGTTCTTAAGTAGCAGTAAATGAGTAGCCCCATCTGCCAGTCTGTCAGTCATGTTATAGCTTTTGTTTGCCATGGCTCATACTTAAGCCCCCTTTTCTCATTTTTGTTACCTTTGGAAGGTGAATATGTGACTTCTCTAAAGTTTAAGGAACTCAATTTCTTTCAGTAACTGGCATTTCAAAGCAAGACCCAGGAAAAAGTTTCCAGTCATTACCACTTAGGAGTCCTTGCCTAGATTTTGGCTTCATTAGGACAATCACCAGGGGTTTATAACTTGACAGGTCATCTGATCATCAAAACAGCTAAGTGACTAACAGGCCAGTGGTGTGTCTAGCATGGCTATGCTGGACAAAGGCATGAGTAAGATTTCAGTATACTTAGGCTTGTGTTGTTCATTTCTGGAAATTTTGGAGTCATTAAATTGTGTGTGTGGGGGGGTGGGGGAGGGTACTGGGGCTTGAACTCAGGATCTGGATGCTGTCCTTAAGCTTTTCTGCTCAAAATTAGCATGCTACCACTTTTGGCAATTTTGGTGCTTAAATGGAGGTAAGAATCTCAGGGCCTTTTCTGCTTGAGCTGGCTTTGAACCAAGATCTTTAAATCTCAGCCTCCTGGGTAGTAGGATTACTGGCTTGAGCCACTGGAGCCTGGCTCTCCATGTAGTATTTTTTTTCTTTTTCTTTCTTTCCTTTCTTTTCTTTTCTTTCTTTTTTTTTTTGTGGGTCATGGGGACTGAACTCTGGGCCTGGGCACTGTCCCTGAGCTCTTCAGCTCAAGGCTAGCGCTCTACCACTTGAGCCACAGTGCTACTTCTGGCTTTTTCTGCTTATGTGGTGCTGAGGAATCGAACCCGGGGTCTCATGCATGAAAGGCAAGCGCTCTACCACTGAGCTTCCCAGCCCTCCATGTAGTATTTTTGAATGACAGATAACTGCAGGTTGAACCCAGCACGGAAAGAGACATCACAAATGAATCTCCAGTAAACTATCCCCATAGCCTTTTCGCACTTAGAACTAAATTTTAAGACCAAACAGTATCCAGTTCATTCAATTCCAGTCTTCATTCTGACTAATCTGAAATGTTTTATTTTGCCATGATGATGGGAATCGAGCCCAAGTTTCCTGCATCCTAAATAAGCACTTTACCCCCACACTATAGCTCCAGCGGTTTTTAAAACCATTTCTTACACACGCCCATGACTTCTAAAATCCCATGTGAAGTCCCATCTGAGGATACCACCTTCCGTAGGAGCCGTGACAGCGCTTCTCAAACGATGGAACCAGCTTGTTAAACATATCCTCAATACCTTTCTCTAGAGGTTAATTCAATGGTTCTAGGGAAAACCGGAGAGGAGCGCACGATGCTACCTCAGGTGAAGACGATCACTGAGTAGTGAGTGTCTCTGCGTCCCAAGGCCTCCGAGGCTCTTTAACATGCACACACCTAGACCTACGAGGTCGGCGCTTTCACAGGCCTCAGCAGAAGGCGCGCTTGCGCACTGCTCCCCGGTCTTAGTGGCGGCCGCGCGCTGCACGCCGGGAACCTGTGGTCTCAGTGGAACCAGAGTGGGGGAAAGCAGTGCACTCCAGGCTCAGCCCTCCCCAAGCGGTTCTTTGCGTTCCTATCCAGCCAACTCTCCTCCCCAGATGCTTAGTACCGACCTTCCCGGCTTGCATGTCGCACGTCGGGCCACCCCTCCTCCTGCTACGAAAGTTAGCGCTCGCGACTGAGGCTTAGGGAGATGCCGGAGAGGCGAGACTTTCGGGGTGGGTGGGCTTCGCTAGTTTCCGGCTGACTCCGCCCCCACCCCGGGCGCTGCTGGGAGTTGTAGTTCCTCGAGGGGTTCGGGTCTTCCGGTTCTCGCGTTCTTGGGTCCTCCCATTATGCTATGCGCCTCTGGCCGCCTTGTAGCGGCTCCGGCGTCCGCCACACTTCCCGCCCCGCCCGCGGGCAGCAGAGGGAACTACATCTCCCAGGGCACCCTGAACCGCCCTCGGGTGACCACTTGGCGGGGGGGCTGGCCAGAGCTTGCGGGCCGGAGGGCGATTCTGAGGCAGGGGAGGACTCCTCGGACCATGGCGGGAGGCCTGGTCGGGTGCGAGCTGCGGGCTCGACAGGGCCGCTGCGGGCCTCAGGCTTCCAGGGCCGCAGTTCGGGACGTGGCCGCCGAGGCTGCAGCGCGAAGCCCCAAACCGCCTGCCCAGAGCTGGCGGCGCTTGGAGGCGGCCGGCCAGTGGGCCCTGCTGGCTCTGGTGACGCTGCTGTCCTTCGCCACCCGCTTCCACCGTCTGGACCAGCCGCCGCACATCTGGTGAGTGGAGCGCGGTGCTCGGCGGGCACCATGGCAACCAGGAGGAAGGACGCCTCCCTCTGATTGGCCTGAGGGCCTGGAGAGGGCGGGATTCACCGGAGGGGGCGGATTGTCCTGTTGGGGAAACTGAGGTTTTGGGTAGTTGATCTTCCAGTGAGGTCCTCTCCGTGGAATGGCTTTCCTTGGCCGAGCAATGGAACTCTCAGGATCCGAAGAAGTAGTATTGTCTTGCAGGTCATGCTCACGGTCTGACCTGTCTCTAAGTGCGTCTCTTAATGGTGCTTTGAACTTTCTGAAGAGAATTGGAAGTTCTTGGTTCAGAATTTCCCAACACCTGAGATCTTCGTCTGCAGGACTTTCTCAGACATCAAATCGATTGGAAAATTCCTAACTATATACTTCCATCCTCTAGAACAAGGGCAGTTTGGGTGTAGGGGGCGGGGGGAGGTGAAGGATGCTGACAAGGGTTTCTGAAAACAGAAACGCTTCTTTCTTGTGAGGAGAAAATTATTCTCTTGAAAGTGTTTGTATTATTTTGGTATGACACAAATGCTGCGTTGAGGCTTGATCACATGTCATTAGCTTAGCTAAGTTACTTTGTAACTTTAGTACCAGCTGGAAGGAAGGAGGGTTTCATACAATCTGAAAATAGGTTTTTTGTTTTGTTTTGTCTAGCCAATAAGTGATACCATGTTTTCTCAGTATCACTGGGGAGAAAGTGTCAGAAATCGATCTTATTAGCCAAGTCTCAGTGGCTCCAGCCTGGCACGGGAGACCATAAGACTTTTATCTCCAATGAACCACAAAAAGCTGGACAAAGAGGTGTGGCTCAAGTGGTAGGGCTTTTACACCAGCCTTGAGTTGTGTGTGTGTGTGTGTGTGTGTGTCACACAGACAGAACATATTGTTCAAAGTGAAACCAAGAAAATAAACTGTCAGTGTTTCCCTACTTAAAAATTAATAAGTTACCATGGAACATGATTGTTTCATGACTGCTGGTAGGAGATGTGAGACTCCTGGGTTGGAGACAAAGGATTTTATTTCAGGAAATGGATATCAGTGTGGTATTCACAGGATACCAAGTCCTACAGGGTGTTAAAGGGTTGAAATGGATGTTGAATGGATGACTGCACACACAATATGGATTCCATCCAGGCAAAGGAATGAGGATATACTGTTTAATCACAAAACAAACGGTAAGTCAGCCTACTCTGTCCAAGAGAGAGACATAGTCTCATCTCAGGGCTGTGTGCTGCAAATGCAGCCCTGAGAAATGATCCAGCTAAGTCTTACATTCTTGACACATTCTGCCCAGTTGTGTGGATGCATAAAGACATTGATGGAGGATTGTCTCTCTCACATGTCCTCTCATCCCTTGATTGTACACTGTCTTGGTTTCTAGTAGATTTTTATGTGAATTTGCAATTCCATTGGCTACTCTGATGGATTGAGGTAGTGACCAAGTCTGTTTAGTTGATCTCATAGCCTTAAATCAGGCTCCTATTAATGAGACAATATTTTCCCCATAATTTACTTCAACTATGCCCTCCAAGGTCCTGAGCTTAGCTATTAATGAATGAAGTAAGGGGACAGTGAATGTTAGTGTCCCTTTGGCTTATAAGTAAGAGTTTAGATCGACTGATCTTTGGTATTATTGACAGTAATTATAATACCCCTTCCATGTAAAAAATATGTAACACCTATGTCCAATCGAAAGATATTATATATATGCTGAGGAATCGAACCCAGGGCCTCATGCATGCAAGGCAAGCGCTCTACCACTGAGCCACCTTCCCAGCCCCTAATGTGTTTTCTTGTAGTTTTATAGGCACACTCTAGTTACAACAAATGAGGCAAACTAGCCTATGTTTCTTTGAGTCTGGTTTACTTTGCTTAATATTTTTTCCAAGGCTTTCCTTTTAGGTCAGGAATTTTTGTTAAATTTTATTTCTATAGCCATTCAGTTTGGTTTAGATTATCATTGCATTGCTTTGGTAAGCAACACTGTTGATGTTACTGAAGAGTTACAACCTCATTGTACAATCATAAATCAAGGTTCCTCATACTTTAAAAGTATGTGAATATTTGGGAGTTGGTTTTGGCATCATCAAACACATTAGAGTAGTTGAAGACTGGCCACGCCCATATCAGTTTCCCTGTTTTGGAGCATGATGACAAACTCATCCCATGGGTCAGATCACCAGCATCAGCTACTGTATGACATAGGTGGAACATCTAAGCCTTTTGCCAGGCTTTGGTGCTGGACTTAGGAGAAAGGAAGCACTATTTCCCTTCATTTTACTTACCTTCACTTCAGAGATCTAGGTGTTCTTAGTCCAGGTATTGAGATGGTTTCTTTCTTACCACTTTCACATAATGTGTTACAGCCTAGTATAACCTGAAGTAATCTCCTTAGCTCTACCTTCCATATAGCTGGGATTATGAGTGTGACCACCATGCTGAGCTTGTCTGTACTTCTCTCCCTCTCTTCCCTCCCTTCCCTCCCTTCCCTTCCCTTTCCTTCCCTTCCCTCCCTCCCTCCCTTCCTCCCTTCCTCCATTCCTTCCTTCCTTCCTTCCTTTCCTTCCTCCCTTCTTTCCTTCCTTCCTTCCTTTCTTCCTTCCTTCCTTCCTTCCTTCCTTTCCTTCCTCCCTTCTTTCCTTCCTCCTTTTTCCTCCCCCTCCCACTTCTTCCCTAGATGGTGCTGGGGTTTAAATTCAGCCTAATGCTTGCTAGGCACTTGGACCACTCCTCAAGCCTTTTTTTGTTTTTGATAAGATCACTCATTCCCCTCCCCGCCCCCCCCCCTGCTCCCAGGGCTGGCCTCAGACTGTGGTCTTCCTGCCTATGCCTTCTATATGCTGGGATCACAGGGTGCACATCACCATTCCAAGTATTTGTTAAGATGGAATCTTGATTACCTGTTGTTGCCTGGGCTAGCCTCCAGTGGTGATCCTCTTGATCTGAATCTCCTATAGCTTGGATAATAAGTGGGCCACCATGCCCAGACATTGCTTTTAACTTAGCCTCCTCATCTGGCAATCTCTATGAATCATGGCCCCAGAGAGCCAGTGTCTGCTTCAGAGAATAGTGTGGAAAATAGTTTCTCCCCAAAGGACACTTGGAACTTTATGTAAAAATAGGACCCATGAGTGTGTGTGTATATATATATATATATATATATATATATATATATATATAATTTTCACAGGGTAGTGGAGCTTCTTGAGCCTTCCTTCCCTTGTCAAATGTAAATTCCAAGTGACTTACCCAAAGTTGAAATGTTAAGCTGGAGTTCTGAGGCCTTTGTGTGTCAGGCACTTTCAGTAAGTAGTAGGTTAATTAATAGCCTCTGCGAAAGAATGAAAGAAAGAATGTACTTAGTACAATTGTCCATCAGATGGCGCTGCCCATCCAGTGAGTGCTAACATTCTAACAACCTTTTAAGTATTTTCAGAGTTCTGATTTCTCTCTCTCTCTCTCTTTCTCTCTGTCTCTCTCTTGCTCTCATTCACTCTTTTTCATAAGAAAAAAGTTTAACTCTACATACATTAACACTACAACTATTTCTTCCAGATCGGGTGATATGTATATTTCTTTCTTTTTGCTTAGTATCAGCTGTTCCCTCTTTCTCTTTCATTCTCTCCTTCCCATCACCGCCCTTGAGTTACTTAGTTCACTTTCATCAATATCCAGTCCAGCTGATGGGCCTCTTAGCTGTATCTTTTCACCTGCTTTCCACTGTTGTCCTCCCTCCTTCCCTCAGCTGTGCACGTGTATGCGCCATATATGGAAATAAAATAGAGAATACAGCGTCATCTTTGGGGTTATGATTTGGTGCTTTTCTCCTAAGACTCTCCTCTTTTGGTCTCATGCTGTATGCGTATTTTGGGGGGGGGGTCTGGTCATGGGGCCTGAACTCTGGGCCTGGGCGCTGTCCCTCAGCTCTTCAGCCACTTCCAGCTTTTTTCTTTTTGCTTATGTGGTGCTGAGGAATCAAACCCAGGGCCTCATTCATGCAAGGCAAGCGCTCTACTACTGAGCCACCTTCCCAGCCCTGTATGGGTATCTTGAGTCCTGATTACTTTGTCATATCTCATTGCATTTTAAATCTAACATCCGCATATCTGGGAGACCATGCATCATTTGTGTCTCTTATCTTGCCTTATCTCAGTCAACATGATTTGTTCTAGTTCCATCCATTTCCCTGTGAATGCCATTATTTTATCCTTTCTAATGGCTGTGTAAAATTCCATTGTATATAGGTACCACATTTTTTGGATCCATCCATCTGAAGTCGGGGTTGTTTCTGTATATGGACTATTGTGAACAGTGCAGCAATAAAAATGGAAGTCTAGGTGTCTTTGTCATATCCTGGTTCCTGTTGCTTAGTGATTTCCCATTCTCTTTAAGGATATATTTCTTCTAGATTCCTAGGAGGGAACAGGATTACTTCTCTATACACCAAAGTTCTGGAATAAGATAATGCTCTTTTTGTTGTTGTTGTTGAACATGGGGCTTGAACTCTGGGCTTGGGCACTATCCCTGAGCTCTTCAGCCTAAGGCTAGTGCTCTGCCACTTGAGCCACAGCACCACTTGCAGTTTTTTGGTGGCTAATTGGAGATGAGAGTCTCACAGACTTTCCTGCCTGGGCTGGATTTGAACCCCGATCCTCAGCTTCCTGAGTAGCTAGGATCACAGGCGTGAGCCACCAGTGCCCAGCAAGATAATCCTCTTTGACACTGAGAGGATTGATACAAGCTATACATATATTCAGCAGTAGAAATCACAATAATACATTGAAGTGTCTCAAAGAGCCCTATCCACAAGATCAAACTCTGGCTCAAACTCTGTCAGTTGAATTGGAAGGCTCATTTTTCCCCTTGAATTAATGTTTGATACACCTGTGTCACAGCCCACAGCTAAGCCATTTCCCAGTTGGAGATCGTGGAGAGTACTGAAAGCAAGCATAGAAAGCTTTTTTTCCCCTTCCTTTTGCCCCCACTAAGCTCAGTGCCACTTTTCCCTATGCCTGGTGCGCCCCATGGCTTAGAGACTTTTTCTTCAAGTCCTGTACACACTAATAATGGCTTGGAAACTCATGCCCCTACCAAATGCTCCCCCATGGGATGAGGTAGGGAACAGATATGGACCCCATATAGCAGAGCCCTTGAGTTAGTTTTTCCTCTCTTAGAGTTCCCTAGTGTATGCAGCCTTTAGTCTCCTTGGGGACACAGACCTTGACCCCTCCTTTAGTTACAGTTTTAAGCAGCTGAAGTTATAGTAGAGATTGGGATCCAGGCTTGTACATAGAACTTACCCAAGAATCTTGCAGTATTTTCTTTTGTTGTTTGTTTTTGAGATAGGGTCTCATCTTGTAGCCCAGGCTGTCCTCAAACTCATATGGTAGCCCAGGCTGGCCTCAAACTTGTGATCCTTCTGCCTCTGCCTCCTGAGTGCTGGAATTAAAGGAGTGTTTTCTATTTAGTTCTTAGGTTTAAACTCAAGGCCTAATGCTTGTTGGGATTATCCTATAACACTTGAGCCATGCTTGAGAACTTTTTTGCTTTAGTTGGTTTTTTTTTTTTTTTGTCGGTCGTGGGGCTTGAACTCTGGGCCTGGGCGCTGTCCCTCAGCTCTTCAGCTCAAGGCGAGCGCTCTACCACTTGAGCTACAGCGCCACTTCCGGTTTTCTGGTGGTTTATTGGAGATAGGAGTCTCACAGTCTCTCCTGCCCGGGCTGGCTTTGAACCGCGATCTTCAGATCTCAGCCTCCTGAGTAGCTAGGATTACAGGCGTGAGCCACCAGCACCCGGCTTTTAGTTGGTTTTTGAATAGGGTTTTGGATGTTTGTCCACCAGCCTGGACCATAATCCTTCCTATTTCTGCCTTTCACATTAAGTAGGATGACAGGGACATACCATTGAACCCAGCTAATAGATTGATGAGTTCTCACTAACTTTATCCCTATGCTGGCCTCAAAACTACAGTTGTTGTTGTTGATGATGATGTTTTTGTTGTTGTTGTTTGACCAGCCATGGGGCTTGAACTCAGTCTGGGAACTCTCCATGAGCTCTTTCATTCAAGGCTAGTGCTCTACCACTTTGAGCCATAGTTCCACTTCTGGCTTTTTCGGTTTATGTGGTACTGAGGAATTGAACCCGGGTTTTATGCATGCTAGGCAAGCACTCTACCACTAAGCCACATTCCCAGTCCCATAAAAACTACATTCTTCCTGATCTTCACCTTCCAAGTGGGGATTATAGATGTGGGATTATAGATGAGACCCACTATGCCTGGCTGAGTGTTCTTATTTTTATTGATTGAATAGCAGGGTTCTCATTGTTACACAATTTGTTTGGAGATTCTTGATTCAGCATCCATCTGCATATTGCCTTTGACCAGGCTGCTATACTTCCTATTCCCATGTTGTGATCAAATCTCTTATTCCTTTTTTCCAGGTAGCAAATAGGCAGCCGTACTCCTTTCTATTCTGCATCTGCTTGTCTGTGTGTGTGTGGGGGCACCAGTGCTGAAACTTGAATTCAAGACTGTTTGCTCTTCACTTTTTCATTCAAGGCTGGTATTCTACCACTTGGGCTACATACACCTCTATTTCTGTTTTTTTTGCTTTTTTTTTCTGAGTCTGATATGTCTGCCAGGGGTGGCTTTGAACCTTGAGCTTTGAATCTCAGCCTTCTGAGATTACAGATATGAGTCATCAGTGCCTGGCATCCATCCATCCAGTCAGTGGGAACTTTGATCACTCCCCTGACTGCCACTTGGATAAGAATGTTAACTCCAGGCTCTATGGTGTCTTCTCAGCTTGTGCGTGCTCTCATCCTTTCTCTTTCAGAAGCTATGGTCATCATTCGATACTTCTTTCTCAAATTGACAGGATCTAGAATTTTTTTTAGTCTACTTGCAAACTAAGAAGTTAACCTGTCAGTGTTTCATCTATGCCAGCAGAAGACAAAGAGCTAAGTGAAAGACCAAAGGCATTATTTCTATTGGCACAGCAGAGAGGATGAGCACCAGCATGTCCTCACTGGTGCCCCAGAGTCCCATGCAGTGCCGTGGGTATAGATGTATGCTTGGGTTATATCACAGCTCAGGAATATCAAGCTTGGGAACTCTGTTTTATAGCAAGCAGTAAGTAATGTAGCACTTTACATTGTGTTTGAAAGCTAATATATTAGATCTACTTGCAAAATAAATGAGCATAGGCTTAAGATACATTCATTTAGTAAGAAAACAATTTTTTTTTCCCAGTCCCAGGCTTAAACTCAGGGCCTGGGCACTGTCCCAGAGCTTCTTTTGCTTAAGGCTTACACTCTACCACTTGAGCCACCAGGGCCATTTTCAGCTTTTTCTGTTTATGTGGTACTGAGAAATAGAACCCAAGACTTCATGCATGCTAGGCAAGCACTCTACCACTAAGCCACATTCCCAGACCAAAACCCTTGATTTTTATATATATATATATATATATATATAGTTATAGTTATTTTAATACCATTAGTCAAATGGTAGGAGGTTGATAAGCAGAATCAAATTCCTGTGACCAAAGGCTTAAAAGTTCTCTCTTAAAAGTTTCCAACTATGTAATGATGTACATTCTAATTACAAACTTGGACTCAGAAGTTAACAGACTCAAAGCTGGGCCCCAGTGTCTCATGCCTGTAATCCTAGCTTCTCAGGAGGCTGAGATCTGAGGATCACAGTTCAAAGCCAACCTGGGCAAAAAAGTCCCTGTGAAACACTTATCTCCAATTAACTACTCAAAAACTGGAAGTGGCATGAGGCTCCAGTGGTAGAGTGCTAGCCTTGAGTACAAAGAGGCTCAGGGATAGCACCCATGCCCTGAGTTCAAACCCCACAACTGACAGAAAAGAAGAAAGAAAAAAAAAGAAAGAAGAAGAAATTAACAGACTCAGAAGAAAACTCTTCAAACCTTCAAAACTCTTCAAACTCTGTCCTTCTAAAACAAATAGAAATACAAGATATAGAATTAGTATATATTTTACTTCAATTTAGGGCAACTGGTTGGTAAATTTTAATAATCTTTCCCATCTATCTGAATGAGGGTTAATAACCAGCTTAATTTTCTGCTTCCTCAAACTACTTGAATAAAGTTATTTTTATTTTTCATTCCAGACTTTCTCATTAATTGCTTGAAACATGTAGCCTTTTGTTTTCAACTATAATTTTAACTATGATATCCTTTTGTTTTTTTCTTTAGTTGGGATGAGACTCACTTTGGAAAAATGGGAAGTTACTATATCAACCGCACCTTTTTCTTTGATGTGCACCCACCTCTGGGAAAGGTGAGCAGCTTTCTCATCTGGGAAGATGGATCCTAAGTGCTGGGCCAGGTCTTGGTTTTGGACTTAATTCTTGAATTTAAGAATTCCCTAACATGTTTTAGACATTTCAGGCCTGCTACCTTTATAGAAATCCTTGGTATAAAGGACCTTCTGAGCTGAAAAGTGGAGAGAGGGTCTATCGACTGATAGAAGGATAAATGTGTTATACCATACAATGAGATATTATTCAGCCATAAAAAGAATGGAGTTCTGATACATGCTATAGCATGGGTGAATCTTCATAATAGTACCCTAAATGTTAGAAGACAGACATAAAAGGTTGTAAGTTATATGACTGAAATATCAAGAATTGGATATTTCATTGCCTGGGTCTTAGGTGGAAAGAGAAGATTAGGGAGGGACTGCAACTAGTTTTTTGTTGTTGTTGTTGTTGTTTGTTTGTTTTTTTGTTGTTCTTCGGGCTTGAACTCTGGGCCTGAGTGTTGTCCCTCAGCTCTTCAGCTCAAGGTGAGCACTCTACCACTTGAGCCACAGCACCACTTCCAGTTTTTTGGTGGTTAATTGGAGATAAGAATTTCATGGCTTTTCCTGCCCAGGCTGACTTTGAACTGTGATCCTCAGATCTTAGCCTCCTGAGTAGCTAGGATTACAGGCATGAGCCACTAGTGCCCAGCTAGGTTTTTTTTGAATGGTGCATTTTATCTTTTATAAGCTTAATCTCAAGTTTTCAAAATAAAACAGAAAAGCGAGACTGTATTGCATGAAACAGGCAGCATGGGGCTGAGCTCCTTTCTCCACACTTCATTCAGCTTCTGCTCCTCCCTCATGTTTAGCAATTCTACCAATTAGAATTCACTCTACTCTTTAAAAACTATCATCTTTGAGAAGATGAATAGATTAGTATCATTCAAGCCTTTCTTCCTAACTGGAGGCTTAGGTCTTTGGCACAAAGACCTGTACAAAGGGACAGGTGATGGGGTGGGAAGTGATCCTGGAGCCCTTGGGAAGGGGAGACAGGCTTAGTGATCTGAGTCAGGTTGCAAGGGAGCGAGGACATGGGCTGGGACCTGGAGAAAGTCCCCATAGGTAGGAGGGATATAGAAAAAGGTAGGACAACTAGCCTGTTTTGAGATTGGTTCTGAGGTGATGAAAGGGTAGACATGTTCATGCCTCTTTCCATACAATAAAGAGAAGACCGATTATGCATTGGTTCATGTAAATGTCAGAACAAACTGATAAGCATGCAGTGTTGTACATGCAAAGTATTTTGTACTTATGAGATATGTTGCAGATGGGGAAACTGGTATTTTCTTCTTCCCTTTGTTGAAATGCCTCTGTCTTTGCATTATTCTTTCTCCTTTTCTTTTCCTTCCTCATATTCCTGGTGTATAGCTACTTTGTCACTTGGCACTCTGTTTATGTCGTTTATTTGGAACTTCATTCTCTGTCCAGCAGGCTCATCATCCAGCAATCAGGATCTGCCCAGGACCTCTCTCAAAGTCGTTTTATTTCAGAACAAGTGAAAAAAGGCTTAGAGAGCTCTCACTGACTCTGCCTTTCAAGTTGTGGTTCTTCCCCACTCCCAAGTGTCTGTACTATTCCCAAGAACTTAACCATAACACAGAGTGGGTTTGTTTCAAGCAATGAGCACTATAGACAAAGGTTCTTTACTAGGCAGCAGCTGCAGGAGAAAATGTCACATTGGCCACTCCTTCTGTGCACAGTTGTCAAGGGAAACCGAAGTCTGTGGGTGCAGCTGGAGGGACTCTTCTCCCAAAGGTTTCTCATCTTTCTGTTTGTTCTTCTCTGTACAGATGCTGATAGGTCTTGCTGGCTACCTGAGCGGATATGATGGTACCTTTTTGTTCCAGAAGCCTGGAGACAAATATGAGCATCACAACTACATGGGAATGAGAGGAGTAAGACATCCTGATATGTACAGATGGACTGTATTCTGGGTCACATTCTGTGAGAAATTGGAAGCCCTGGTATATCAGTGTAGATAAAGACACTTCAATAGAGAGAAGGTCATGAACTGAAGCTCTCAGAGAAGTTTGCATTCACCAGCCCCCTTGAGGATCTGGAAGTATTTTAGATATATGACTGTGCCTATTTGAACAATCATTGTATGCTTTGTATAATTATATCAAGCCATATTTCATTATTATTACATATCAAGCCATATTAAACAAGGAGTATTTACTCTCAAGTTCATATCCTTGAGTAATTCTGTGTTTTCTTAAAGGCTCTTGAATACCACATAACAAGCATAATTGAAGCCGGGCGCTGGTGGCTCACGCCTGTAATCCTAGCTACTCAGGAGGCTGAGATCTGAGGATCGCGGTTCAAAGCCAGCCCGAGCAAGAGAGACCATGAGACTCCTATCTCCAATAAACCCCCAGAAAACCGGAAGTGGCGCTGTAGCTCAAGTGGTAGAGCGCTTGCCTTGAGCTGAAGAGCTGAGTGACAGCACCCAGGCCCAGAGTTCAAGCCCCACCACCGACCAAAAAAAAAAAACAAAACAAAAAACAAGCATAATTGAATGTAGACCTATTCACTGTGGACTTACTATGGAAATGGAGAAGGTTGAATACAACATCCCCATTCATTCCCTTTCATACTAGGGCATATTGCTTTCTGCTTATCCCAAATATGAGAATCCCCCTAAGCCTTTCTGTTTACTGATGATGGGCAAGGGACCAGGGAGCCTATATTATCTTCAGAGTAAACTTATAAGGTAGGAATTCACTGTGATTACATGGATAGAGAAGCTAAGGAAGGTATAACTGTCAGAATCATAGCTAGCAGGGCTGGGAAGGTGGCTCAGTGGTAGAGCGCTTGCCTTGCATGCCTGAGGCTCTGGGTTCGATTCCTCAGTACCACATAAACAAAAAGAAAAAAGCGGAAGTGGTGCTGTGACTCAAGTGGTAGAGCACTAGCCTTGAACTGAAGAGCTGAGGGACAGCGCCCAGGCCCAGAGTTCAGGCCCCACAACCAGACACCCCCCAAAAAAGAATCATAGCTAGCAGTGATGGGGTGGTCCTACCACCTTCTTGGCTAAATTTCACTGGTAGCATGCCAGCATACATCTGTATCATGACTCTTTGGGAACATACATATTGTTTGATTTGATTCTTCACATTTCCACCATCCCTTGCTTATTCTAGGTAATGCCTTCTTCAGGGTCCTCTATCTTAAGCATTAGTTTACCAGGTCAAGTAGGTCCCTGATGCTTAGCATAGCTTGCTAGCATAACTTGCTGTAACAGCTTTTTTTTTTCTTTGTTGGTTGTGGGGCTTGAACTCAAACTCTAGATGCTGTCACTGAGCCTCTTTGTGCTCAAGACTAGCACTTTACCACTTGAGCCACAGTGCCACTTTTGATTTTTGAGTGGTTAATTGGAGTTAAGAGTCTTATAGGGACTTTTCTCCACAGGTTGGCTTTGAACTGCAATCCTCAGATCTTAGCTTCCTGAGTAGTGAGGATTTCAGGCATGATCCACTAGTGCCTGACTGTAACAGCTTCTTTGTTGCTTCCCATATAGTTCTGTGCATTCCTTGGCTCCTGGCTGATTCCCTTTGCCTACCTCACAGTCTTGGATCTGTCCAAGTCCCTCCCAGCAGCATTGCTCACTGCCGCCCTTCTTACCTTTGGTAAGTTGTCTGGAAATAGATACATTTGTGCCATTTTAACTTTAAGATGGGGTAAAATGTATAGCCAATCTCATTTTATTTATTACTAATGCATACATATGTGAATACTTCTGCATAGCAAGCCTTTGTATTATTAGAGATGAGAGTTGGCATGAATTACCCTAAGGAGTAGACTCTGAGTTACTCACACTTGAGTTTGCAATCGATAATAAGATAAGTTTTATGTAGGTTTGAAGGAAGCCACGGTTTTAACTCTTTAAATTTTTTAAAGTTACTATTAACATTAATTTGTATTCCCAAAACTAAAACTGAATGCAAAGGCAGATGTTCCAGGAGTAGTTGTATGGTAGGAAATAGTAATATGAACTTAAATATCTCACTTGGATAAGTGAGAGTTGGTTATATTATTTGCTAGCGTTGTTCTGAAACTGGATTCATGACCTCATATAGCTTAACATTTAAAGTTGCCCAGACTTGTTTAGGTGTGCACACTAGTTTTCACAAATACGTTGCTTTGTTTTGGTGGCTAGATTGCACGAGTGTAGGATATCCCTATGGGGGACTGGTGGCTTCTTCATTGTGTTTTTAATTTCTCTGTTACTCATTTGGTCATTTCTTCAGTTTTCACCCAGCACCTATTTCATAGATGGGGATCCTGATGTGCAAGAAGTCATTTGCAATATGTAAAACTGAGGAGTGACTTAGAAGTTTTGTTTTAGTTTGTTTTGTTTTTTAATAGTACTAGGGTTTGAACTTGGAGCCTCAAGCTTCCTAGGCCTATGATTCTCTTTCTAGATTCCACTGGAACCACACCTCCAGCCTTTTTTCACTTTATTTTTTTGGATAGAGTCTTACATTTCTACACAAAGCATGCCTTAGACTACAGTTCTCCTATCTACACTTTCCATGTAGCTAAGATTACAGGCATGTAGTTAGACCCATGCTGGGCTTAACTAAGATTTTGACCAGGCTGGCCTTTATCCATCCTGATCTCTGTCTCTTGAGGAACGGGGTTACTCGCAAACCTGTTTCTTAAGTTCCTGCACTATACTGAGCTACTTTTCATGGTCTCAGAGAATATACTAATTAGACTGCTCTCATGGAACTTGCCCTGTACCGAGGCAGACAACATCAAGAAGTCTATATTGTAGCATCTTAAGCAGTAAGTGTACTGTGGAAAATAGAAAGAGTAAGTAAGGTGAGCAGTGAGGAACTCTGTGGGAGGAAGCTTTGGTGGGAATTCCACTATACAGAGTTTTTCTCTATACAGAATGTGTTTTCCTTCCTTCCTTCCTTTGTCTCTTCCTTCCTTCCTTTGTCTCTTCCTTCCTTTGTCCCTCCTTCCCTCTCTTCTTCCCTCCCTCCTTTCCTTCCTTCCTTCTTTCTTTCCTCTCTCTCTCTCTCTCTTTCTCTTTCTTTCTGTTTTGTTTGCTGGTATAGGGTGTAAACTTAGGGCCTTGCACTTTTACTTTGCTCATGCCTGGGTCCTGCTCTACCACTTGAGTCATGCCTCTAGTTCTGACTTTTTGATGATTATTTGGAGATAATAGTCTCTAGGATTTATCTTCCTGGACTGGCTCTAAACTGCAATTCCTGTATCTCAGCCAACAGTACCTGGCTAACCATGCAGTGTTCTTCGGGAAGAGTATTGAGAAAGAGGGAGCAGCCTGTGTTGTAGTCCTCATACAAAGTTTAACAAGGCCAAAGAACAAGTGTAGAAGCTCATATTGTAAGGGTAGAGTGAGGCAGAAAGGTGGGAGTTGAGGTTGGATAGATAAGAAAGCCATGCAGGCTTTTGCATCCTTCAGAGAATTTGTTAGTCTGAATAAGATAGGAAAACACTAAAGGTTTATGTAGGAACATAGTTTAAGGAGATTTAAGTAAAAAAAGTCTTCTCATACCTGTATGAAGAATTGGCCCCCAGCAGTGACTTCATATGAAATGATCAGATGCTATCAGAGCCATCTGTAATTTGTGGCCACCTAAGTATAATTTGTGACCCATTTTTTTGATGGTGGAAATGACGAGACAGGTGTCAGGGCTGCTCTGCTTACAGGGCATCACTTGGAGGTGAGGGAGAGGGCAGTGACAAATGCTGCTTCTCGTCATTGGCTGTAATGTTGTGCCTCTCAATGACTCAGTGAGGACGGAGGCTATGCAGTGTGGCAAGGTGACTGTCCATCTGCTAGAGGTTTGGTTTTTAGGGTTTCTTTCTTCACTCTGCACATTGACCAGTGAGCTCATGTTTTTCAGACACAGGATGCCTCACCCTATCCCAGTACATCCTCCTTGACCCCATCCTGATGTTCTTCATCATGGCTGCCATGCTGAGCATGGTCAAGTACAACTCCTGTGCGGACAGGTCAGAATACCATGTTTGGGTGGGGAGGGCCAGAATCTCTGGCAGCCCCAGAAGTTTTCTAAAGGCCGGGGTGGGCTGGGGTGGGGGTATAGAGGACTTGTCTTGAAACTGAGTTTAAGACAAGCATACTGCTCATTTGTTGGTTTGTAAACTTCTATTTTTGATAGTAACAAATAAATTTAAAATATTTTCTTTAAGATGGTTTTAGTTCTGCTTTACATAAGACTGCAAAAATTATCTTTTTAAAGAGGATTACTATTGTCATGTTTATAATGGGTTAGGAGTTTGTGGAGGGATCCTAATGCTTTTTTCTCACCCGTAACTTATAAGCTTCCCCTTCAGCCCCAGTGTTGGTTAAGAGATTGGGACAATTTTTCCTTCACACTCTGTACACTGGAGGGATGGCAGATGCTGCCTCAGAACTGTTTGTCACCCTGCTTCAAGGGTTATATCAGGTCCTGATGTAATAATGGATGATCCTTACCAGTCAAGAGGATCCTTCCAGGTCCTGGTCAGTTCTAAAGCTAATTTAGAAGGTCTGGTTTCCAGAGGTTTTTTTTCTGTCCCGTCTCTGAAAGAGTAAAGAAGGCCTTCTTCATTGAATTCATTGTATTCAAACCAGAAGAGCTGGTTCCCGACCACATGGTACCACTGATGGCCAAGCTGATTAAGCTACATTTTGCTAATCATACCTGAGCCAGTGACTGCCAGTCCACTCTGGTTTGGGGTTTTCTGCTTCTACCACATCCATTTCCACCTACCATTTCTTGAATACATACTATGTGCCAGGTACTGAAGGTGCAAAAGTGTGTAGGGTATTGGCTTTAAGGTACACTCATTCTGGTGGTGGAGAGAGGAAGATCATCAGAAAATTGGCTTCAGTGTACTAGGTGCTTTTCCTACAGCAAAAGGATTGTTAGTATTAACCATGGAGTTAGCCTAGGTTAGAACTCTGTTCCACTGCTTCATAGCTGTATCACTTAACCTCTCTGTACCTCAATTTCCTCATGTGTGAAAAGAGGATAAGAGACCTCATGGGGTTGTAATGAGGATTAGAAAAGTTTGTGGGGGATGGGATAGTGCCTGACACATAGTAAGCACTCAATAAATGCTGACTTTGGCAGATCCAGAAGTGACCTCAATCAACAGGCTTCTCTAGTTTTTCCTTTTGCATCTACTTGATTGATCACTAGTGAAGAATGGGCTTCCTTTTTGTTGTAGGCCTTGTATTTAGTCAGGAGTTACATGCTCTCTCTCCCTGGAAAAATATCCTCCTCTCATACTGGTTTGCCTGTAAGTTGCGGGGTTCTCAGACCACATCCTCCTTGGAGCTGTCTTTGGTCCCCTGAGGTTAGGACCTCCAAGGCACAGGGGAAAGCACAGCCTCCGAGTCAGGGGACTCGGCCCTTCCACTGCTGCTCTTGCTTTCAAGTTTGATGCTAGCTGCCAAACTGAACTCTGTGTCTTGTTGATTTTCAGGCCTTTCTCTGCCCCCTGGTGGTTCTGGCTCAGCCTGACTGGCATCAGTCTTGCTGGTGCTATAGGGGTCAAGTTTGTTGGCCTCTTTATCATCGTGCATGTGGGATTGAACACCATTTCAGACCTTTGGCACCTGTTTGGAGACCTCAGTCTTTCACTGGTGAGAACCCAAGTTCTGGGAAGTGTCTCTGATCCCTGGTGTTGCTTAGGAGCAATCACTGGCCTTTCTCTTCCTCTAGACAGGCTGGGCCTGGCTGCTCTCTGTAGACAGCAGGCCATGAGAGTAGCCTGAGGAGTGGAAAGGTCTAAAGGGAGTGAATAGACTGACAACCTTGGAATTCTCGTGTGTGTGTGTGTGTGTGTGTGTGTGTGTGTGTGTGTGTGTGTATTATAAATGTTTTACAAACTGTCCAGCCAGGTTCATGCCAAGTGTGTGGCAGACACTGAGTGTCTAAGACCTTAGCTAAAATGGATATAAGATGACTTTCAGAACTCAGATTGCCTTTTATTTACCCAGGATCTCAATAAGTACTGTTAAGGTTTATTATAATATTGTTAATTATTAAGGGCTGCTTTGGTGCCAGGTACTATGTAAAGTGCTTTCCTTCATTATCTTATTTACCCCTTGTAATAATTCTATGATGTAAGTGGTATTGCCCAGATTTTACAGATGAGGAAATTGAGGCATAGAGAATAACTTTCCCAAGACCCTGTAGGTACTACACATAGAAAGAAGAAGACTAATAACTCATCATATGTAGGCTAGGCTGCCTCCAGACCTCCTCTACTTTGCTCTGGCACCTCTTTATCACCTCCAAAGCAAATTTCTAACACGTTGATTCATTCAAAAATATTATATGGAAGCCATTCACTTAATGTGTGGTACTAGGTCTATAGAATAAATAAACAATATCCCTGCCCTCTGGAGTCCATAAAGAGGAAAGGAAGAATGAAGTTAGAATCCAGCATATGGAGCAGCTGGCCATGTGATAGAAGGGCTGGCGCAGAGTGGGGAATATTGGGCCTAGGTGGGCTGGACCTGGCTGCCCTCTGTAGACAGCAGGATGCTAGGGCATGGCCTGACTGAGGAGGTGGAGAGGTATAAAGGGAGAGGTGGACTAACAGTGTTGGAATTCTCTTGGTATTGGGAGTTCATAGTGACTGGCATGAGAGGGTACTTGTGAGCAGCAGCTGCATCTTCTTCACAGCACCATCACAGTCCCTAGTCCTAGTGCAGGGCCTAGAGGGACAGCAGATGGCCAGTCCATGTTGGCCCCGTACAGTTCTTTGGCGGGAGATAGGGGTTACAGAAAGAATAAAGTTTCCACATATTTATTTTTCCTGTTGGCCTTTAAAAAATCTATGTATGTATGTGTACAAACACACATACATATTATAAACATATATGTATATATGTATACATAGATATATATATACATGTATACATATATGTATATATACATATGTATATATACATGTGTATATATGTATGTATATACATATATACACATGTTTATTAAATCTTACATATAATACCATAGAAGGTATAAGGAATAGTGGAGTTTTTTATGCCTACTGTCTGCTGGCCTCTATTTGCAGGTAACTGTGGGAAAACACTTGACTGCTCGTATCCTGTGTCTCATAGTACTGCCCCTGGTGCTCTATGTGGCCATTTTTGCTGTTCATATCACTGTGCTGAATAAAAGGTACAGCCAGAGACTTTTTAGCCTCTCATTTCTGATTGTCCTTTGGCTCCTGAGCCCATAGGGTGGCCATGTGATTTCCTGGGTCTATGGTTAGGATGCAAGGGGGAACTTTTACCTGTTTCCCTTTCTTGTGTTCTGTAGTTTGGGTATCTCAAGGGCTTAGAAAGGCCAGCACTCTGGCCTGAAGGAAAAGAAGACTTGCCTATTAACCCCTTCTCTCTGATCAGAGTCCCTTGTCCCTAGCAAGATAGATACCACAAGAATGTACAGTAGAACCAAGGGTAATGATAACCGTAGCAGCAGCAGCAAAGCAGCAGCAGCAGCAACAGCTCTTAATGGGGAGCTGCTGAGGGACTGGGTTTAGCACTTTATATACAAGATCTAATTTAATCACAATCATTTGTGAATTCTTTTGGTTTTAAAAATTCTTTTAGTTTGTAAACAAGGAATGGAGGCTAAACAAAGTTAGGAACATTGTCCAAATCACCCAGCTAGGAAGTGGCTGGACTGGGGTCTGGACCCAGTTTTTCCACCTCCATCACTCATGTCTATCTTGCGATACCACACTCTAATTCTGATTCTTCTTTTAAATAAGTGGAGTCTCCCTGGGAAATGTCATCTTTTACTCTGCTAACTTGACTCTCTCCTGGTCCTTTATCTACAGTGGTCCTGGTGATGGCTTCTTCAGTTCTGCCTTCCAGGCCCGGCTCACAGGGAACAACCTTCACAATGCTTCCATCCCTGAACGTGAGTGTTCTAGGCCTTTCTACAGGTCCAAGGGCAGAGGGTTTTCCTGGGCATTGAATTGGAAAAGGCAAGTCTGATACTTGAGTTATTTTAGTGGATAGATGGTGGAGCAGGAGGAAGACTAGACATGTGGTAAGAATACTCAGGGTCGGTCATGACAGGACAGAGGAGGGTGTCCTACGCAGCAAGCTTTGTGATCTAAAGAGTAGTTTCTGTGTGGCCGTCAAAGCCAGTTCTGTGGGAGATCTGTTGAGAGAGCCTGGTGGCAGAGCATGGCCCTTTAGCTTCCACCAATGTTCTGAGACCCTATCCATATGCTTATTCACAGTAATTAGTGTGTGTTCACTCTCCAGAAACATTCTGGTTTAGAGAATCCAGGCACAGTGTGGCCATATGTATTAAATACATAAAAGGGAACACAGATTAAAGGGCTCTGGGTGGCTGGGGAGGAGGGGTCAGAAGTGCATGGAGTAAGTTTGCCTGGGAGTTGTGCCCTGGAAGTCCAGGTAGATTTCAGTAGGCAGAGATGGGGGAGAGATCATAAGGGATGGCTTGATAAAGCTGAGGAAAGAGCAGAACTTGAGACAATTACTATATACAGAAGGGTATTAGAATCTTAAGTCTCAAAGGATAGTTTGGGCACTGATGAGTTATGGAGGTATTAGAGACCTGGTGGAGGTCTCTGAGCAGGCAGGCAAGCCAGGAAAGTTGTATAGTAGGAAGATAGTATCGCTGGAGGATGGCTGTGGAGACCAGATTGGGGGCAGGGCAAATAGTGGATAGTTGATTTTAATAGTCTATCTTTGTATCTTGGATAATGTTCCAGACAATGACAGAATGCTTCTTCCATCTCTATTCCATGGATACATATATAGACCTTCACTGGAAGACATCCTGTTTTTTTCTAATCTTTTCCTGTTACAATAGTGCTTTGATAACCAGTGTTAACACCAGCATCTTCTGAAGTCCTCAGGAGAAAGTGGACAGGATAAGTAGGGAGTGCCCTCTTGATTTGGTCATATAGTTGGAGAAGGCTACTCTACCTCCTGCTGCTTCAAGCAGTCCTTGACCAGTGGCATTTGAGAGAGTTGCTAGGCCTGAGGCTTCAGAGGGCTCCCAGGCAGGGGCAGCCTATAGTTTTGTGCTCACTCTTTTGTTGTGTCTCCCTCTAGACCTGGCCTATGGCTCTGTGATCACTGTCAAGAACCTCCGGATGGCCATCGGCTACCTGCACTCCCATAGGCACCTATACCCTGAGGGCATCGGAGCCCACCAGCAGCAAGTCAGTGAGCTTTTGTGCCCTTGCACTGTGCAGGGAAGAGGGCCAGTGAGTGAATGCCAAAGTCACGGACACTAAGGCAGTGTTTAAAAATGTGATGAGCGGAGCCAGAAGCAGACATCAATGAGGAAGGAGAAGGCATGGAGTAGAATGCTGAGGGAGATAGGGACTCCAGGAGGAGATGGTCAGCATTTAGGTGCTGCAGCGAGGCAGAGGGGCCTGTAACTGACAAGGATGTTTTCAGTAGGGAAGGGCAGTAGAAGTCTCAGATGCAGTGTCGTAAGGAGCAAATAGGAGGCAAGGAAGGAGAGGCTGTGGTGCAGGCTGTTACTGCAAGAAGTTTGCAAGAAAAATTTTCTCTTTCCAAAATGAACTGGTTGCCTGTGGCTCATACCTATACTCCCAGTTACTCAGGAATCTGAGACCTGTAGGATTGCAATGCAAAGCCAGCCTGGTCAAAAAAACAAACAACACCATCTCCAGTTAACCAGAAAAATGCCAGACTGAAGGTATGGTTCAAGTGGCAGAGCCTCAGCTGTGAGCAAGATAACCAAGCAAGAGAACAACAAAGCTCTTGAGTTCAAGTCCCATTTCTGGTGTGTGTGTGCGTGCATGCGTGCGTGTGTGCAAACACACACACACACACAATTAATATCTTCACTTTGCCAAAAGGTTTTCTTCTCAAAATGCTTTATTTTTTAGGAATTAAAAAGTGACCTGGGGTATTAGGTTTTAGTGTCAGTTCCTCATGCTTGATTCTCTACTGATCTCTAGCCCAGTGGAGCTGAGTCTTGGCTACACTTTAGAAAGCTTTTACAAATTTCTCACACTTGGTCCCCACTGCAGAAATCCTGATTAACTGATCTAGGGTGGAGCCCAGGCAGTGTGTATTTCTGTTTTAAGCTCTCCAGTTTACTCTAAGTACAGCGAGGGAAGAAACCACAGGTGTGATGTAGTGAAGTTACATGTGCCGTGTCCAAGAGCATCTACCCTGTACAAACAGAGAAAAGCCAAATTCTGAATGACCCTGCCAAGCAGGTGTTATACACTGGTAGCCCATGTGTGCAAGTGTGAAGCTAATGGTGTGTGGAGAGAGCACAGTGGGTCAGAAACAGAAGTGCCTTAGGCTTTGCTGAATTACTAGCTCTTCTTAGCCTTGCTCTTCATCTGTAAGTTGAAGGGATTGGACTAAACTTCTAGTTGCCCTCCCTGCCTTGGAGTTTAATGCCTTGCTAATAAAGTCTGGAGGTCTCAGATTTTACATGTTTTAAATGTATAACATTTCTTATATTTTTAATTTGAAGTCAAATGAATAATATTTCTAAATTAAAGTTAAAAAGCATGGGAAATTATGAAAAAGGAAATGGTGGGGCTGGGAAGGTGGCTCAGTGGTAGAGTGCTTGCCTTGCATGCATGAGGCCCTGGGTTCGATTCCTCAGCACCACATACACAGAAAAAGGCAGAAGTGGGTGCTGTGGCTCAGGGACAGTGCCCAGACCTAGAATTCAAGCTCCACGACCAGCAAAAAACAAAAACAAAAAGGAAATGGTATACATAACCCCAGAAGAGCTGTTTTTCCAAATACTTTGCTGTGCAACAAGCATCTTGCTATAATTGGATACCTGTATCCTGTGTTCCTAGGAAACCTCATGCTATTACAAACAAAGAACAAAGCAAAGCAACTCCACTGTAAAAACTAACATTTCTTCTGGGTGCCAGTGATTCATGCTTATAATTTTAGCTACTCAGGAGGTTAAGATCTGATCTGCCAGCCTGGGCAGGAATGTCCATGAGACTCTTTCTCTCCAATTAACCACCCAAATAGCCAAAACTGGAGCTGTGGCTCAAGTGATAGAGTGCTACCTTTGAGCAAAAAAGCTCAGGGATAGGCCCTGGCGCCCAGTTTAATCCCCAGTGCATGCACACATATGTACCGCCACCAAGAAAAAACAAATACCCCACAATAGTAGGAAAGGGGGCCAGAGACTATACTCACAAAATAAAAATAAAAATTTAATAATTTTTTTATTAATAATGGCTTTAAAAAAGACAAAAAACACTTTCTTGACACATATAGCCAGTGTCATCATGTATGAGCACATAGAGCAGTACCATTCATGAGCAGATCCAAGGTGATAAAATATATCTGGAGGGTTTTTTTTAATAATATAGACTTCATTTTTATTTCTCCCTGACTGCCAAAACTTTTTAACATTTTATCTGTTCTTAATATCATTTTTTTCTGAGAGAGCAGAAGCCACTCAAACAAAAGGGCCATAATAATCCATGCAAAATTGTTTTATGTCCAATTAGGGTTATAAAAACTCCAAAGAAATGCCTGTACTTTCATTGCTTTTAGCTCCTTCTGTACTTGTTTCACAATTGGCATAGTCATACTAAGTCCCTAGCTTGGGAGCATTTGGAGTTGGCTGTCCTGGTTGAAATCCTGTCTCACCAGTTTGTAACATAGGCTGTGTGGTCCTGAGCAAATTACTTATCCTGGGCCCTTGAAAGTAATATGGGGGAAGCAGTAGCACCTACATCCTGGAGCTGTAATATGATTAAACTGGATAAGACTTGCTAGTACTATTAATAGTGCCTTCTCAACATTTCACAAGCCTTTTCCCATGCTGCCAAAAAAAAAAGCTCTAAATCATTGTGGCTGTATAATGTTCTTTCCCATGCTAGTATATTAATAGAAACTCACTATTTGTAGACTTTTGCTATTATATTACTGTATTATGAATGTGCACATGAGAGTGCACACATTTTTTTAAAGAAATCAGTGTGTACAAAGTTGCTACAAGGTAAGCATCTAGGATGTGATACTTAAAGGGCTTTTAGGATTTTTTTAACCACATTATAGAAAATATAATAGCATGAATTTTTTATTTAAAAAGTTTGAAGCATGAACTTAATTACTTTTTTTTAAATGCATTCAATCTACTGTGCTGAAGACTTACATACAGGATTGTGGTTCTTCATTCTAGAAGGCTGGAACTTGAAAAACTCCAGAGAAAGATACAAATCAAAAAGGACCTCTAAATCTAGAAGATAGGAAAGAATCTTTTTCAGTAATGCTGCTTCTGAATGTCGTTGATAAATATGGTCCCTAGGACTGGTGCCTGAAGATTCTAAAAGAGGCTTGCATTTTGTTTGTGGTTGGCCAGCTGTACTGACAGTGATGGTATTCTCCCCCCCACCTCCGCTTCTCTCTGCCTCCCCCAGGTCACCACCTATTTGCACAAAGACTACAATAATATGTGGATTATCAAGAAACATAATACAAACTCAGGTAATGTGACCAGGTAATGTGATGCTTCTTTATGTTCTTATTGACTTACAGTCCTCCTTAGTATTTTCTGTGCCTCCAAAAGAATACTACTAAGGTGGCTCTCCTGAGCATCTTTGACATTTATTGATCTCTTATTCTTTGGTAGCTGTGTATTGATCTCTTCCTGTGTCCCAATCACGGTTTTAGGTATAGAGGATAAGCAGTGGATAAAACAGATAAGCTCTTACTTTTAGTATTGTTATTGAAGCCAGAGAGCAGGGCCCTGGCTTAGGCTTCATCCAGGAAGTGAGCATGCCAGGCAGAGCTAGTGCGTAGTCCTAATCCTGAGGTACTTTGGTTGTTCCCCATAAGACAAGACAAGCCTGTAGTCTTGTTATGGTAGCACATCCCTGGGCCAGCTCAGTCAGTTGGGATCTGAGGGCCTGCCAGCTCTGTGATCCGGCATGTCTAGCTGATGCCTGGGACATCACTCAAAACTTTCCCCTAAATGATCTGGATAAAGTAGCTCTGAAACATACCTGTGTGGCTCTCTGGCCTATAGAGTCAGAGCTGTATAGGAATCTTCTTTTGGTCAGGCAGCTAGCTTCCTGTGGGCTGTGCCTTCTGTTGCAGCTGAGAGCAAGGACAGCTTCCTCTTACCTTCTGAGCCATCTCCACTGCCGATGTCTCAGCCACAGCATTTCTGTGACTCCTCAGCAAGTACTACCTACCTGACTTGGCTCCAGCCAGCTGCTCACCTAAATCCACATTCCTTTTCCTTCCCTGCCTCTTCTTACTATAATTTTTAGTCTAGAAACTACATAATACTGTCCTCTTTATTTGCATCCACAGTAATATAATTTAGGATGCCATTGAGCATAGTCTGTTTTTACACCCTTGTATTACTACCATTGATATTTTGATCCAGTAAGCCAGATATAAGTGGCCCATCACAATGATGAGTTAAGAGAAAGACTAATTTTACTTCCAAGTCATCTAGGTTTTTGTTTGTTTGTTTGTTTTTGGTCGCTCATGGGGCTTGAACTCTGGGCTTGGGCACTGTCCTTGTGCTCTTCAGCTCAAGATGAGCGCGCTGCTGCTTGAGCCACAGCACCACTTCCGGTTTTCTAGTAGTTTATTGGAGTTAAGAATCTCATGGACTTTCCTGCCCAGGCTGGCTTTGAACTGAGATCCTCAGATCTCAGCCTCCTGAGTAGCTAGTTTTACAGGCATGAGCCCCCCAGCCCCGGCCTGTTTGTTTTTGTCGGTTATGGGGCTTGAACTCTGGGTCTAAGTGTTGTCCCTCAGCTCTTCAGCTCAAGGCGAACGCTCTACCACTTGAGCTACAGCGCCACTTCCGATTTTCTGGTGGTTTATTGGAGATAAGAGTTTCACGAGCTTTCCTGCCCAGGCTGGCTTTGAACCGAGATCCTCAGATCTTAGCCTCCTGAGTAGCTAGGATTACAGGCATGAGCCACCAGTGCCCAGTGTCATCTAGGTTTGAACCCAGTCTTTGAACATTCCTAGACTTCTAAGTTAAGATGGTCACATTTCATTTAAATAACTGAGGATTTTCTGGGAACATCTTAAAAGTATTTAGGTTCTTTATGGCTATAAATACCCTCATCCTCATTCACAAACCTTCCTTCTCTATTGACTTATTTCAGTTATTATCTTGCTAATTAATCTTATAAGACCTTAAAGGCAGAATAGCAGTGGACCTCTTTGTAGTTGAGTTTTCTAATTACCTTGAATGAGTGATTTGCACTGGCAAATTAAGCCTTCCTGACCTTGATCTATTTATAGGATCTTGGTATCTCACTGTTTGGGACAGAAGTTTGCAAGGGTACACTCTGCTTGGATTTGGTGATTACAGCTCCTTTTCCATATCATTGCCTTTATAGATTCTGATCAGTCTGACTTTCTGATGACAGAACAGTGGTCCTTGCCTTCCATCATTTAATTATCTCCACCTCACTTAGCAGGCCTACTGCCAGAGAAAATATTTCATTTTGGGGAAAGCTGAACAAATGGTGATTTGCATAAAATTCATTTTTGGTAGACCATATGATAATAACAAAAAGGAGAACCTTGCCATTTAGCTCCCCAGCCTAAGTTCCTGTGGGGAACCTAGTGCCTTTCAGATAAAAACCATATTGTGCCAGGTGCTGGTGGCTCATGCCTGTAATCCTAGCTACTCAGGAGGATGAGATCTGAGGATCGTGGTTCAAAGCCAGCCCAGGCAGGAAAGTCCGTGAGAATCTTATCTCAATAAACCACTCAGAAAACCAGAAGTGGCGCTGTGGCTCAAATGGTAGAGCACTCGCCTAAGCTGAAGAGCTGAGAGACTGCCCAGGCCCAGAGTTCAAGCCCCATGACCGGGAGGAAAAAAAAAGAAAAGAAAAAAGCCACATTGCCTCAGCTGGCATGCATGGACTAGCTCAGCCTCGTTTCCTGTTCCTATTCCCTCCCATTCCCTAACTGTATGAAACCATCTGCCTTTGATAAGTGAGTTGTGTTCTTCAGATCTCTATGCCTTTCTCCACTTGATTACCTGGCAGAATTCTCCCTCAAAGAATCTCTGTTCCTCTGTGATGACTGAAGGTCCTTGCTTTTTCAATCCACCACCCTCTGTTAGTGCCTCTGGCATATGCCAAATAGTGGAGTAATTGACTTTGAGTTGACCTGCAGTGTACAGCCAGGAAAGTAAATGACTGGGAGCCCATGCATGTTTCTTACCCACAGATCCACTAGACCCTTCTCTCCCAGTGGAGTTTGTGAGACATGGAGACATCATTCGACTAGAACACAAAGAGTAAGTGAACTTGCCAGTTGGATAAATAAGGGTAGAGAGTTCCTTTAAGAAGATTGCAGAAGTCAGGTGTGGCTAGAGCTGCAGCAGTGGAACAAGGCTGCAGTGCTAGGATGAGTGTTTCATGGTACGAAGATGGTAAGTAACAGGCAAACCTTTATTTACTTCCTGGCTTGGGCTTTGAGGAGCTTTGAGGGAACCTTTCAGTTTTCCTGTTCCTGAAGAGAAAGATAAATATAAGTTGCCCCAATCTGCTTTTAAGTGGTGCTTTTAGAAAATGTAAGTGACTATTTTTGAGAGTATGACACACTAGTTTATTTCAACAGCAATCTCACCAAAATTACTAAAAATGCTTAGATGATATAAAAGCCTCTTAAAAGCATAAAAATACTAACAAGATATTTAATAGTTACTAGGAGCTGGGTGCAGTGGCTCATACCTGTAATCCTAGGTATGTGGGAGACTGAAATCAAGTGGATTTCAAGTCAAAGTTAAACCAGGCAAAAAGTTCTCAGATTCCACCTCAACAGAAAAAGTGGGCATGGTGGGGCAACCTATCATTCAAGCTACAGCAGAAAGTAGAAGTAGGATTATAGTCCAAAATTTTAAGACCCAATCTCAAAAATAATCAGAACAAAAAATGACTAGAGGGATGGCTCAAATGGTAGAACATCTGCCTGAGAAGTACAAGGCCTTGAGTTAAAACCTCAGTATAGCTAAACGCAAAAGATAAAAACTAAACAAAACTATTACTAGACCAAAGTCTAAGTTAAAATGGGAATTCAGAGGAGCAAATTAGGCACTGAAGCCACTGGTCTTCATCCCACCATCTTGAGTTTTAGTCTTCTATTTTTTTTAATTTTTTAAAAAAAATTTTTTTGGGTCCGGTCATGGGGCTTGGGCACTGTCCCTTTTGCTCAAGGATAGCATTCCACCACTTGAGCCACAGTGCCACTCCTAACCTTTTCTGTTCATGTGATACTGAGGAATAGAATCCAGGGTTCCATGCATGCTAGCACATTCCTAGCCCAAATCTATAGACTTCTATTTACAATTAACCAGCAAAAATGTAGGAAGTGGAGGTGTGTAGCACACCAGCCATGATAGGAGCAGGGGAAAGCTGGGTGAGAGAGTAAAGCCCCAATGCTGGCAAAAAAAACAAAACAAAACAAAAAACAGGCACCAGTGATTCATTCCTCTAATCCTAGCTACTCAGAATCTGAAGATTGAGCTGGGTGCTGGTGGCTCACACTTGTAATACTAGTTATTCAAGAGGCTGAGGTCTGAGGATCTCAGTTTGAACCCAGCCCGGGTAGGAAAGTCTGAAAGATTCTTATCTCCAATTAACCACCAGAAAACTGGAAGTGGTGGTGTGGCTCAAAGTTGGTAGAGCACTAACCTTGAGCAAAAGAGCTCAAGGACAGTGCCCAGGCCCTGAGTTCAAGCCCCACAACTGCCAAAAAAAAAAAAAAAATCTGTGGTTTGAAGCCAGCCCAGGCAGGAAAGTCTGTGAGACTCTGATCTCCAATTAACCACACACACACAAAAAAAATGCAAGCCCTGAGTAAAGAAGAGGGACAGTCCCCAGGATCAACACCAAAAAAAAAAAAAAAAAAAAGCAAATATCTGAAAATTGAATAGTAAACATTTGTGACTCAAGAGATGTAAAAAGTTATATAAGTAAAATCTAAATAGTCTGTCTCTTATCTGTAATTGGCCACTTTTAGAAAATGGCAATGAGAATAGAAAGAATAAATAGGAGAGAGGAAGCTTGCTCATCTTACGCATACATAGATTATAAATGCTAGTTTTCTTCTTCCTAGCTAGACTTCTAAGTCAAGCAGTCAGAGCACTTCATGCTACCAATTCTGTGAAGGCCATCCCACTGCCCTGACAATACCTGAAGTTGGTCTCTTTTTTAGCATGAAGCCCAGGGCATTCCCATCTATCCTTCTCAGTTTGTGCTTTGACCTCTTCTCCAATACTCCCAATATTTCTTGTGAAATCAGAAGGCAACAAGTTATTTATGTATTGGAATTACAGTTGGATTTAATAAGTGTTAAATATAGTATTATTTTAGCCTCCTAAAATCAAGTAGGTAAGCCATGAATAGTGGTACACACATGTAATCCCAGCTTCTTGGAAGATGGAGGCAGGAGGATAACGAGTTTGAGGTCAGCTGAGGCAAAGTTAGTGAGACTTTGTCTCAGAACTCTATCACCAAAAGATGTATTTGAGGGGCTGGGAAGGTGGATCAATGGTTGAGTGCTTGCCTTGCATGCACGAGGCCCTGGGTTCGATTCCTCAGCACCATATAAACAGAAAAAGCTGGAAGTGGTGCTGTGGCTCAAGTGGTAGAGCAGTAACCGTGACCTGAAGAGCTGAGGGGCAGCACCCAGGCCCAGAGTTTAGGACCCATGACCAACCAAAAAAAAAAAAAAAAGATGTATTTGAATATTCAATGTTAAAGAAGAAAGATTGCACTGAGAGAGTGCAAGCAAAGGGATGACATTGTCCTAAAAGAAATGTACTTTTTTACCTTATGTAAGTTTAACCCTCTGTATATCACCTTTATAATAACAATAAATACACTTTTCTAAAAAGAAGCAACATTGTAAATCTCTTAAGTAGTTGTACAAAGGAGTTGCCATTCAACAAAGCATGAATACAGTGCATCTTGGTTAATGTCACTCCTTTAAATGACCTCACTCTTCCCAACCCCATCTTCTCTCACTCTTCTTAACTTTATAAGATATGTATTGAATTTTTGGCTGCTCCTTTCTTCTCTTCTTTTGCCTCCCCCTCCCCCCAACACTCCTTGACTCCACCTTATCCTTTTGAAGTACCTGTTTCCTGGTATGTATTTTATTGACCTTTGATTTAGTCTTTCTAAGGAATTAAACTGGTTAGTACTCCTCTGACTCTTACCATATTTCAGTTAATACATGTGTATAAACAATAACAGATACTGGCAAGGATGTGGACAAAAAGGAATGTTGGTGGGAATGTAAACTCATTTTCCCACTGGAAAGCAGTATGGAGGTTCCTCAAAAAATTAAACATAATATTACCCTATGATCCAGCAATTCTACTCTTGGACATTTATCCAAAAGATTACAAACTAGAATACAATAAAGCTACCAGGACAACCATGTGTATTGTAGCACTATTCACCATAACCAGGTATGGAAACAACCCAGGTGTCTATCAGTGGACAAATGGATCAAGAAAATGTGGTCTATGTATGTATGTGTGTGTATATATATATGTATATATATACACACACACATACATACATACATACATATATATATATATATATACATACATACATACACACAATGGAATTTTGCAAATCCATTAGAATTATAGTGCATCATTTGCAAATAAATGGAAAGACCTGGAAAAAAGGTGTGTTAAGACAGCTCCAGAAAGACAAAAGTTACATGTTTTCTCTCATATGTAGAAACTAGAATTCATTTATAAATACATAAGTAAATACTTTGGGAAGTTTGCAAGTATGCACATCTTATTCACGTAATGACCCTTCTTTCTTCCAACTTGTAGGACTTCTCGGAATTTACACAGTCACCGTCATGAGGCCCCCCTGACCCGGAAGCACTATCAGGTCACTGGGTATGGCATAGTAAGTGAGCCAACTGGGATGTGAGCATGGTGATAAGGTTGTGGGGCTTGGCTCATGACTGCATAATAGGACACATCCACCCCAGAAAACACGACTATTTCTAAGGATTGGAGCTACAAATGGAGTTCCTTAATATTTGATAACTCTTTGGCTGAATTTGATGTAAGAAAAGCAGTCTGTCTCCATTTCTCTTCTCAAATAGGAACCATGTAATTTACATACTCTAATACCTAATAAGTGTTAAATATGAGTATTGTTTAGGTTTCTTAAAATCACATCAGAGAAGTCAGGCATAGTGATGACCTTCTGTAATACCAGCTGCTTGGTTGGGAAGGGAGATAGGAAGATCATTATAAGGATCTCTTTCTTATAATAGAAGGGTATTATACATATGTTTTGTATTTCAGCCTTAGGGAAACATACTTAATAGAGTAAAAGCTCTATAAGGGCTTATGACGTGGGAATAATTGAAGGCAATATGAACTCTAGTGGAAAGCTGGTGGCTCACACCTGTAATCCTAGCTACTTAGGGAGGCTGAGATCTGAGGATCTCGGTTCAAAGCCAGCCTGGGCAGGAAAGACTGTGAGACTCCTATCTCCAATAAACCACCAGAAAATCGGAAGTGGCGCTGTAGCTCAAGTGGTAGAGCGCTCTCCTTGAGCTGAAGAGCTGAGGGACAGAGCTCAGGCCCAGAGTTCAAGCCCCATGACTGACAAAAAAGAAAAGAAAAGAAAAGAAAGCTAAGTATGACTATCAGTTACATTCCCTTTCAGAACTTTGCTGTTTGAATAAAATCTGTGATCTTCTTTCTACTTGCTTATTCTACATTGTACAAGAAACAGGCTCTGAAGTCATTGTTTTCTTGTGGGCCACACGTGTCTTAATTTCCAAGATGTGCTATATAGGCCAGGCCTTTCTGGCTTAGGTATGACGGTCCGGATGGCCAAGATAATGGATACAAATGCCAGATCTGCTTCAGTTGGCTCAGGGAAGAAAACCTAGAACTTAAACTCTAGTCCTATGAAGTAAAGAATTGGACTTCTGGTTCCACCAGTTATGTTCTTTCCCCCACTCCCTTTTTCTTTTGTTTTAATAGGATGTTCTGGGGCAATGTCAGTCACTTGAAAGACTAGAATATTTCTATGCATTCTTATTTCCTCCCTCACTTCAATCATTAAGACCAATTTGTCCTTTGTGATATAGTGGCATCTGAAAGGGTAGCTGTCTTCGATTGTGACACTTCTCTACAGACATGCTGTGTATCTTTTTCTTGATTTATGTGACAGAATGGCACAGGAGACTCAAATGATTTCTGGCGGATTGAGGTTGTAAACAGAAAATTTGGGAACCGGATCAAAGTGTTGAGAAGTCGAATTCGCCTTATCCACCTGGGCACAGGTTGTGTCCTGGGGTCCTCAGGAAAAGTTCTTCCTAAATGGTAAGTCTGGACCTCTGATGTCCCAATCGAGCTTCTGCTTTTTTTTGTCTTGCTACAAGGAGTATGCTAGAACCTCCCATTTCCCAGTAGTCAGTGTTCACTTCATATTTGCTTTTTCTTTTTTTTTAATTGTGAAAATACCATATAGAGGGGTTACAATTACATGGGCAAGATAATGAGTACATTTCTTACCAAGCATTGTTGCCTCCTCCTTTGTTTCCCCTTCCCATCCCTTCCCATCTCCCACCCCCTCCCCCGACCCCTCACCATATTTGCTTTTTCTTAGTGGTAGATGGCAGGAGAAAAGGAATCAGATATATCATGCAGCACAGAGCCCTAGGGCAGCTTTGTTATTTTATATGTTTTGATAGTTGGATATTTGTACATCTGGCTTGTGGTAGAAACGCTAGTCTTCCCCTATAATAGCAGTACTAGATAAAAGTGTAAGGTTAAAAAAAAAAAAAAGAGTGGCCACTGGCTTGAAAACAGAGGGAAGGGTTCCACAGACCTAAGATTGGCAGACAGTGCTGGGCTTGGGGAGTTCCAGGTCTTCTGAGAGACATCTGCGACTACTTTTCACAGGGGCTGGGAGCAATTGGAAGTTACTTGCACTCCATACCTAAAAGAAACCCTCAGCTCCATCTGGAATGTGGAGGACCATATCAATCCTAAACGTGAGTGAGCTTCCCAGGCTAGAAATTCCTACCATAGAAAAGTAATTCTTCATAGACTGTTGCCACTGAGTCTTAGTGCTTTTGGAAGAGTTGTGTGTACCTATACTGCTAGCTCCTTTTTCTTTTCCTCTCTTTCCTGTTGAATAGAATAACTAATGACCTCCTGCAGGTGCTCTATTGTATGTTCCTCTTGTTCTTCTGTCCCTGTACCATGGGCACTTCACACATACAGGCTTGGCCCAGGAGGACCTGTGCAGAATGTCTTTCTCCCCATGTCCAGTCAGCCCATTCCCAGCAGGCCACAGCCATGGCCACAGCCCTGACCTGATCCCAATCTCTGCTCCTAGCCTCATTTGACCTTTCCTCTGCAACTTCAGCTCAGTCTTTAAATTCATAGTATTTTCTTTTTTCTTGGTCCGGTCGTGGGGCCTGAACTCTGGGCCTGGGCGCTGTCCCTTAACTCTTCAGCTCAAGGATAGCGCTCTACCACTTGAGCCACAGCGCCACTTCCGGCTTTTTTTCTTTTTACTTATGTGGTGCTGGGGAATCGAACTCAGGGCCTCATGCATGCAAGGCAAGCGCTCTACCACTGAGCCACCTTCCCAGCCCCTCATAGTATTTTTCTTAACACTCCATTTACCCTCATGTTTGTTTTCTCTTCCTCTCCTTTTCATTCTTCTTACCACCTGATTTAGCCAAAACTACCCAGCAGATCAACTCCTTATTCGGTATGCTGGAAACACAAGCATCCATCTGTGGATAAATTGTTGAATGAATGAGACAGATTCAATCCCTGTCTTCATACACCTTATGCCTAACAGGCCGGCAGCCTCTGAGCCAGAGCCATTGTGAAGGTTGATGGGGCTGAATGCCATGAGAGCACTGAGGGGGAGGTCTTGGCATCTGTTACCTCAGTAGTTCTCAGAGCACCTACTGAGTGCTTAATGTTGCCTGAGTGAAAGACCCTCAGTACTCTCACCTGTTGCCAGCTTGTCAGAAAGGTTACACTTGAACTCTGGTGGGAGTGTAGATACTGTGGACAGACAGACTGAGGACAAAATTTTTGACAAAGCCTCTCACCTCTTGTTTGTCTTGTTTTTCTTAGTGCCAAACATCAGCCTGGAAGTGCTGCAGCCCAGTTTTGCCGAGGTCTTGCTGGAGTCGCACATGATCATGATCCTGGTACTGTAGCCCCTTCTTGGCCTACCTTTTTTTTTTTTTTCCTGTCAGAAAAGTTCTTTATTCACGTAAGCCCTTACCAAATCAAATGGGTTTTTTCTTTTATTTATTTTTCCTTTTTGAGCTTCAACTATGATAATTTTTAAACATTTTTATTGTTACGGTAGAGTCGATACACAGAGGGGTTACAATTACATGAATTAGGTAATGAGTCATGAGTACAATTCCTTTTGAACCATGTCTCCCCTTCTGTCGCTGTCTCCCAGTTTATCCCTCCCTTCCTTACCCACAACATAGCCAGCCATTTTCTCTATGGTGTCCAGGGAGCTCCACTACTGCATTTGTTCATCCTTATTACATCTTTTATGTGCCCTCCCATCCCCTCTCAAATACAAACGAATAAGACAAAAGGAAAACAAAAACAGAAACAGTGGTAACTTTAAAAAATGTCTTTTGTTTCCTTTTCTTGGAGTTCATTTCGTAGAATATTATTTTACATGATCATCTGTACATAGCAATTGAGCATTTGCCTACCAGTCCTATACATGTCCTCCTCAGGCCTCAGTATGTGAATGACCAGAGCAGTATACAAATTCAATACAATACCCACCAAAATCCCAACCACTTTCTTCAAAGAAATAGAGAAATAAGTCCAGAAATTCATATGAATAATGAGACCCAGAATAACAGAAACAATTCTTAGCAGGAAGAACAGTGTTGGAGGAATATCAATACCAAACTTCAAGCTTTATTACAAAGCCATTGTAATAAAAACAGATTGGTACTGGCAAAAGAATACACCTGAAGACCAATGGAACAGAAGACCCAGAAATAAACTGACAAACATATAAGGGAATCAAAGAGGGTGGAAGAAAGACAACTTCTTCAACAAATGGTGCTGACAAAATTGGCTGTCTACGTGCAGAAAACTGAAACTAGATGCTCATATATCACCCTGTACCAGAATCAACACTAAATGGATCAAAGGCCTCAATATAAGGCCAGATACTGTGAAAATATTATAGGAAGGGGTAGGGGAAACACTAGGCCTTTGGGCATGGGGAGAAACTTCTGAAACAACGATCCAGAATCACAACAAATTAAAAAAAAAAAAGACTAGATAAATGAGATTGTATCAAACTTAAGAGCTTCTGCATAGCAAAGGACATAGCTAGCAAGATAAATAGAAAGCCCAGAGAATGGGAGAAAATCTTCACTAGCTGTACATCAGACAAGGGATCATATCTAACCTATGCTTAGAGCTAAAAAAAATTAACCCCCCTAAAACTAAGTCCTTGCTTAGCTTATCTAAGAACCTTTTGGGCAGCTACACTTTGGAGCATAAGTGAATAGCATGGCATAGGTCTGCTGCCCCCTTGTGGAGGACTTTGGACTGTCTTAGGCAGTCCTTTTCACAGCATTAAGGTGGTGGTGACTTGATGATTCTAGTGAACGCTTCTGTGGCTGTTAGGTGCTGGCACTATACTAAGCACTGTGCATATTAACGTATTTAATATTTATTACAGTCCTGTGGAGATTATCATCTTGGGTTATAGGTGAGAGAACTGAGGCACAGAGAAGGTAGGGGACCCGTCAGGGTTATATACCTATTTGTAAAAGGTTGATCCAGGGGGAGAGGGACTAGCAGGAGAAAGGAAGAGGATGAGAGGTTCATGGATGAATGTATTGAGTACATTGTCTACATGTATGACAATGGCATAATGACACTTTTTAAAAAAAAGAGATGGATCTAGCTTTCAAAGCTAGGCTAACAGGTTTCCAAAGTCAGTGCAATTTCCATGACCTCCTATATCTCTAAGTGATTTTCAGTCTGTTCAGGTGGCAGAACCCCTGAAGATAATTATCTTCAGTGATAATTTATTATCCCATGAAGTTAAGATCAGTCAGGATACATAGTTAAGTGTTGTTTATATACAGCATAAAAGTCCCACCATGAGCCCAACCATGTTCCTGGACAGGAATTCTCAAAGGGATAGCTGGTTCAGGTTTAAAGTTTTCTAAAACCTATTGCCTATTGTTAGCAACTGACAGCAGTAGTGGTATTAGTTTAAGGTGAAAGGAATCTTTAAATCTAGGTTATTAGGTCTACCAGCTTAAATTTGCCCCTGTGAGTGGGAGAGAGCTTGCTGATGTTTGGTGAGAGACCCCTTGTGCTGGCTGTGGAAAACCTGAGTCCTGCAGGAATGATATTCAAGACCCATGTTTCTCAGGCTGGATTGGTGACTGGCAGCTACTCATAGGGGCGCAGGGAGGTGTAGAGGTGTTATTTTTCTCCTGTGAGCCATTGTCAAGTGGACTTACCTGAAAGTGATTATGTAAGTGGTACTCATAAAATATAGTTGACTTATTGTACCAGATTAAACTTTTAAAATTCTGATTCTGTCAGTTTTGTGCATTGGGAGGTGATGAGTTGACATTAAGTGATCTCTGGGTCACTTCCTCTCTGACTCTCTGCTTGTAGCTGTCACTGTGGCTTGGTGACATAGCTCTTTTGAATATCTGCCTGTCAGTCACACCATCAGTCTGTGTCTGAGTAGAATTTTAAGAGTGTATGAGTCTTGAGAGTTTTAGTTCTTCTTTCATTATCTGGAAGTATCATTATCTATAGGTAAAGAAGAAAAGGAATATGTGGGAGCTCTGTTATTCAGCTGATATAGACTCAGGAAAGAGACAGAGACCAAAATAGTGAGTCCAGACTATGGAAACTGCTGCAGTCTATGTGTGCATGTGCATGTGTGCACTTGTGCATACACACACTCATGCAAGTGTGCCGACACATGAGGGCCAATGGGATTGACACCTGAGTGGAGAAGGCTAGCAAGTTTGATGTGGTAAAGAGGATTACCTTGACTTGTCACAATTGGGGCTGGCATCCCTGAGTTTGTGACTGAACTGGACTGCTTTGAAGAGATTGATTTCCCTCAACATTTGCTCCAGAAATCTACAAAACTTTCTTCTTCATTCCAAGGCCCCTTGGATGGCCTTGATTCAGGGGCTATCCAGTTGATCCTTTGGGTCAGACTCCCTCATGGAACTTTTGGCCCTACAGGAGAAACCCAGCCACCAAATGGAGGCTTGCAAATTGTTCCCAAGCCCTCATCAAGTTGAACTAGGAAGGCTCACTTAACCACATCTTGAATCTTTCTTGGCTAAAACAGTGGTTTTTATTTGAGGGAAGTTTTGTCTCCCAGTGGGATATTTGGTAATGTCTGGAGATTTTTTTTCTTTTTTTTGTATGTTTTTTTTATTGTAAAAATGCTGTACAGAGGTGTCTGGAAAATTTTTGTATGCTATAATTAAGGGGTAGAACATGCAGAGAGTAGATGCCGGGGATGCTAAACATTCTACAATTCACTGTGCAGTCCGGATGACAAAGACTTATCTAACCCAAATGTTAGCTGAGAAACTTTTTCCTGACTGAGCACCTGGCTCCTCTTCCCAGACCTGGCTTCTGACCCTATTCCGTCCTGTTTAGCAAAGGCCTTATTTTTCCATGGTGAGACGAATTATTGCACTTGCTTGGCTACTGGATTAGTGGAGCTGAGTTCAGGTCCTTCAGACTAACACGTACATTAGGATTGCTTTCTCTCCCATAGATGAAGTATATTCTTGGAGGGAAAAAATCCTTCCCTTTTTTTTTTAAGGTATAATGCATAGGCATTCCTATCGTATGTGAACAATTATATAAATATGACTGTGGTGTTAAATATATAAAATATGAAGGATGTTTAGAAAGCAATACCTAATACATACATTGAGAGAGGAAAACAAGTTAAATGAAAATCTTTTTTTGGGGGGGGTCTGGTCATGGGCCCTGAACTCTGGGCCTGGGTGCTGTCCCTCAGCTCTTCAGCTCAAGGCACCACTTCCGGCTTTTTTTCTTTTTGCTTATGTGGTGCTGAGGAATCCAACCCAGGGCCTCAGGCATGCAAGGTAAGCGCTCTACCACTGAGCCACCTTCCCAGCTCCTTAAATGAAAATCTTAACAATAGATTGAAATTAATAAATATGTTCTTTCTATGATTTTGGGGGGGAGGGCAGAGAAAGCAATGCCTAAAAAACAAGCAGTAATGAAAAACACGGAAAAAACCTTAGACTGAAGTAACTATTTCCAAGTTCAGGTACTTGTCAGTCTCTGCTTTTCTGTTTAAAGTCTTAGTTGAATGTATAAGCTCTGATTTTATATCCTGCCTTCCTTGACACTCTATTCTTGACTTGTCAGATGTCACATATTTTGCACCTAATAGAAAGAGATCCCTTTTCTCTTCTGTTTCTCATATAGTGGGTCAAATGGACTGCCTCTGATGGAACTGTGAGGCTTGTTTGGGAGAATTAAGACAAGTATTGTAGGCAGGTAGACCGTGGCTGAAAATGAGCATCTGATTTTTCCTTGCCATAGGAGAGTGAAGAGGGGGATGCTGGGCGGGAGGATCCTCTTGACAGTTGGCTAGCTATCCATCTCTGACTTCATTACCCTTTTTTTTTTTTTTTGTCACCTTACTGCAGGGAAACAATGGCCTTAAGCCCAAGGACAATGAGTTTACATCTAAACCCTGGCACTGGCCTATCAACTATCAGGTAGGACTTGAGGCTAGAGTTCTTCCAGAAAATGGAACCAAGTAAGGAACTGTAGAGACTGGATTGTTTGGGGGGCCAAGGGGAAGCCTTGCCTAGGTGGGCTGGATATAGGGCTGGGTTTTCTGCCCTGATTCTGATCCCACCTTCCCAGAGAGCTCATGTAGAATTTGCATTCTAGACCTCTTGTCCAGGCTGCTTGACTGTGGAATAAGACTGTGGGGTAATAGTAGCTGGGAATGAGCTGATCCCTGGATCATTAGGGCATTCTCTTGTTTCAAATAGGGCCTGCGTTTCTCAGGGACCAATGACACAGACTTCCGAGTCTACCTACTTGGCAACCCGGTGAGTGTCTGATTGTTCCCCTCCTGCCTGACTGAGCACATGGCTGTGGAGAGCTGCTACCATGTTCTCATCCCCTGCTGTCCTTCCCATGCAGGTAGTCTGGTGGCTGAATCTGGTGAGCATTGCCCTTTACCTCGTCTTGGGGAGCACCATTGCCATTGCCATGCAAAGAGGGGTGCAGCTGCCCATGGAGCTGGAAGGTTAGGGCCCCTGTGCTTTCTCTGCCCTGCCTATAGCTGGTGAGAGCTTGCAGTCTGGGGAAGGCCTGCCTACTATGAGAGGATCCCTTGCTTTCCCCACTGCCCTCTCTTCCTTCTTTGTTTGAAAGCCAGCTCATAATCACCCGTACCCCAATGATGTGTTCAGTACATTGCCCCCTCCCAACAGCCCTGTCAGATTAGTGTTACCCCATTCTGTGGATTTGGGATTTATCCCAGGACATGTAGTTCATAAGTGTTAGCACTAAGACTCAGACCCAAGTATCTAACTTAAGGGTCTTCACTTCCCCCATGCTATAGCCAGAGCTGCTCCTTTTCACATTGCCCCTGTGTTTCATAGTCCTGTTCTCCAGTGAGGTAGAGAGGCATGTGCTAGGCAGGGCAGTGTTTCTTCTCCTACTGGTGCTGCCCCTGTTCTATTTAGCTCTGACATAAACCATAGCACTAGAGACATCTCCACAAGCTGTGTTTGCCCTGCAGCTTCCTACCCCAATAGCCTGGGCCCAGATCCCCTTCCCCTCTGTCATCTGACCTCGCCCCTAGGCCAGCCTATCCCCATGAAGGTTTGTGGTGGTAGAGGTGCCAGCAGAGGAGAAGGGAGAGCAGTTATGTGAAGCTTTATGCCTCCTGCCTGCTGACATGTGACATCCTGGCCATGGTATCAAAGCTGTGCTAGGCTGGGTACTGAGCAGGCATCTCAAGATTGCTTACTCTTCCAGTTGCCATGGTTCCATGTGGGTTGGTCACATGAGGGAAGAAAGTGAGGTAAAGTCACCTATTCAGATCACACAGCAAGGAAGAGGCAGAGCTGGGCTGGAACCCAGGCCGTCCACCCTTCTCAGACTTCTTACTGGGCTGTGCTGCCTTGGGGCTCAGGGCAAATCCAGATGTTGCTGCGAGGAGGTGGCCAGATGCTGCTTGGCTGGATGCTCCATTACTTCCCGTTCTTTCTAATGGGCCGGATCCTCTACTTCCACCACTACTTCCCAGCCATGCTCTTCTCCAGCATGTTGACAGGTCAGCATTGCCTACCAGCACTGGGGACACACATTGGGAGGCAGGGCAAGAGAGGAGGGAAAAGCCGCCATGATCAGCGGTGCTGTTTCCTGCAGGATTCCCAGAAGTTCTCTGACATGCTGGTGTTGGTTTCCCTGCTCTCCATAGGCATCCTGTGGGACAGCCTCCTGCGGCTTTGTGCCTGGGGGTTGGCCTCCTCTCCCCTGGCCAGGGGTGTCTACCCCATGGGAGTGCTGAGCCTGCTTCTGGTAACTGCCTACAGGTATGCTGCCCCTAACATGTTCCTCTATCAGGTGCTCACTGGTACTTTGGCCCTGAGTATAATTAGGATCCCTTGGGAACATGTAAGCTGTTCTGTGGTTGGCTCATTCCCAGAGGTTCTGATTCAGTTTGGTACAGTGGGTCACAATTCGAAACCCCTCAGATGACCTTAATGTGCAGTCAAGGTGGAACCAAAGCCAGTGGTTCCCAACTTCACTACCCCTTTTAGTCCTGGGGCTCCTTGCTGGAATAGCTATCTCGAGGTTGAGGGGGCAAAGGTGGGGAAGTGTGGGAATGTGGGGGGCAGGGTTGGGGATCCCAGAATTTCTGAAGGGAGACTGTTATTAGGAAAGTTCCCCCTTTCCTTTCTTCTGGCAAGTTCTACAGATCCTGCACTGAAAGCCCCTGATTGTGACTCTGAGGTCTTTCTGACCCATGAGCACACCCTTGCCAAAGAAGGTTAAGTTCCTCCTAACCAGTACTGAGCCTCAGCCCCCCAGGACCAGACCACCACTAGATGGTCCTTCTAGGCCTGTTGGAAAGAGCATCTACTGAGCTCCTGGACCAGCGCGTGAGCACTGGCAGACTGAATCAGATGGATAGATGGACTGAGTTGTGGTGGTGGAGCCTGTGTGATGTGCCCAGCAAGGGGGGTGGGGGACTTCAGTCAGAAGTCCTCATTGTGGCCTGTATATATCAGTTATCTCCCTCTAATTCTTTCCCACAGCTTCTACCTCTTCCACCCTCTGGCTTATGGGATGGTTGGTCCCCTAGCCCAGGACCCTGAAAGTCCAATGGCAGGACTAAGGTGGCTGGAATCATGGGACTTTTGAGGCCACTGCAAAGGACTGAGGTCTGGTTCCAGGAACTCTCTGAAGAGAGCCAGCTGCAGAACCAAGTCCTGGACCCTGTCAGCTTGAGGTTGCTATCCAAGGAGCCCAAAGCATCGGCCAGGACCAAGCTCTAGGGGCAAACGCAGATTTCACTCAACACTAACAAACTGCAGCTCTGTCTGCAGTACTCACAAAGGACTGTGTCTCTTGCACCCAATTCTCCAAGTGTGCAATATGAGGAAGGATGAGTGTGGGAGGGAACGTGTGTGCAGTTCCCTGTGGAGTACAAACTGGACAGCCGAGAAGCATAAATTCTGAGAAGTCGTCCAGGGCTGTTGTAACATTTCCTGGTATTTTTTCACATTAGATCTGGCTTGTAAAATCTGTAAGAAATTCTCCGACTTCCAAGAGGGTCTCTTGGGCTGAGAGTGCTGGCTCTGTCTCTGCTGAGGGCCCAGCTTGGGATGGTCCAAGCTACATTACCCTTCTTCCCATAAACAAGCAAATCAGTGGGGAGCAGGCTCCCCATGACTTTCCCAAATACCTTCTGTGGAAGCTGAACTTCTTGCCCATGATGCACATAGAACACCAGGCTCTGAGAACGCCTCACCAGCCTGTGGTTGGCTCTGCCTTAGCCCTTGGTTGCTTCTCTAGTACACTGAGGTTGGTGAGGAAACCATGTTCTATCCCATGGCTACACTGTGTTCCCAGGTCCTGTGTGCCAGAGACCATTTCTGCTATCCAGACCTTCCTCTGCATCCAGCCTGGCCATGAGCACTGAGACAGATGCATTCTCCTGCTGGCTGAGAGAACCTCAGTAGCTAAGAGAGAGGAGTCTGAGTGGGGAACCTTATATGAGCCGGGATTCCTGTGAAATGTCCAGATGTGGGATACTTGGCCTGTTAGGGCCAGTATTCCTAACTCTGCTGGATATTTCACATTTTACTTTCCTAGCTATCTCCAGATGACACCCTCTTGAAACTTCATAGGGTTTTCCCTTTCTTTGTTACTACTTCACCAGTCTTTCTCCCCGAAGACCCTGAGCACCTAGAAACACATGACAGCTTCTACAGTCTACCCCTTTGAGCTTAGAGCTCAGAGCTGCTGCTACTTCTTCCCCCAGAGGAATTAAGAAAACTTTGGGGGTCAGAACCAAACTAACCAAGGCCAGCCCTTTAGCCTGCCTGCCTCCTCTCAGTTGAGGACAAAATGTTTATTTGATCTCAGAAGACTTTGATGCTTCACGGTTTAATAATGACTTTGCCACTCTCATCTTCCCTCCACTGTAGCTCCCAACAACTCTGACAGGGTCACAGCTCTTTAAAGCATCTTCAGGAGGCGGTTGCCACGGAGACTGGTAATTGGTCTCAGGGACAGGCTGTGCTACCTACAGAGTGGTGAGGAGGAAAGCTTCTGGGCTGTGTTTGGCTGCTCAGACCAAGCATCATTAATGTTAATAGAGGAAATGCAGCTATGTCAAAAGCAAGGCAGGGCCGTTAATTAGATCTGAGGCCCACTGACCTCCCTTTCCCAGGGCTATAGCCCTTTTGACTTCCCCTAGCAGGAAGCCCAGCCTGTGCCCCGAGTCTGGGCTGCCTGCTTAATTGCATTTCTGGCAGGGATGGAGAAACTCTGTCCTAACTCTCCCTCCCTTTCCTCCCTTCTGCAAGCAGAGCTAGTTTCTGCTGTGCACGAGTAGGGCGCCATCTGGGTGGGGTTTTTTAGAGGTAAAATGCAGGGATTTGCTTGGCTCTTAGCAACGGTGGCCCATGATGACAAGCCTGTGTCTTCTTACTTCCAAGAGGAACTTGTTGGAAGAGAGGAGCTGTATAGGAGCCCAGGGGCATCCATCCCCTAAGTGAGGATGAGGAAGGAGCAAGCTCAGCTAGCTTCCTGTCTACCCTTCTAATATGACCATCTTGGGGACAAAAGTTCCCTTCTTTCTTTCCCTACTTTGCTGGGATGGAGGAGAGAGACCTCCCACCCACTCCCTCTGCTTCCATGCCCGAGCTGTTCCCTGGGAACAGAGCTGCCTGGTGTGCTAGCCATGGCTCAGGTTCTGTTTGGAAGATGCTGAAAACAATAGCCATGGCAAGGGGGAAGGGGACTGCTTCAGGAGTGGGCTGTAGCCTGTAGCCCTTGGGAATGTGACATCTCAAACTGCTGTCAGACAGCCCAACCTCCAGCCAGTGTCTTGAGCCACATTATATTTTTTTCTAAGTTGCTGGAGTTACTCAGAGGCCATTTACTTTTGTAATAAATAGCTCTTGTTTTTAATGCCATGCTGTTCTTGTACTTAATTGCATCTGACTTGCCCTCCGGCCTCCTTAAAGAAGAGAAGAATGTTTGGCCGGCAAGAGCCGTCCATGCCTGAGTGTCTCGTGTCTGAGGCACTGCCTGGCAGGAAAGCCTGATGCCTAGAGGCATGTGGACCTTCCCCTGTACATGCTTACTTCAGTAATGTTGGATGACAGTTCAATTCACCTAAGCTTTTTCTGAAATAAGTAGGAAGCTGGAATTTGTCTGTTTTTTCCTAGTTTAACTTGCCCAGACAACATAGGAAAGCTTTTGTCCACCCCTAAAACAGTGAGCGGCCTTTTTGTGTGTGTGTGACAGTCCTGGGACTTGAACTTCGGGTCTGGGCTGTGCTTTACCATTTGAGCCAGAATTCCTCTTTTGGTGGTGATGGTGGTAGCAGCTTCTTCTTCCTCCTCCTCCTCTTCTTTCTTCTTTTTCCTTTTAATACTTAATTGGAGATGAGATCCTAGCAGACTTTCCTGCTTGGGCTGGCTTCAAACCACAATCCTCAGATTTCAGCCTCCCAAGTAGGATTACAAGCATGAGCCAACAGTACCCAGCTAGCAGTTTGCCATTCTGCTTATCAGATACCTGACTTCTGCCATGGCCCTGTCATCTGGACCACCTAGGATTTAAGATAGGTGGGACTGTATTGAGGGTCAGCCTGGAGGGAGGAGGAAAAGAGTCTTGTTGCTATATCACAAAATTGGGGATCTTCTGGACCACCCATCTGCCCTCACAGGACCCACAGGAGGGTCAGACAGACCTGGTGCTCTTTTACACAGTACAGCTGATTTTTGGATGTTCATTCATTGATATCTAGTCTTCATCATGGTCAAGGATTGGACCAGAGAAGTCCCCATTCTTCTCATGAGAGATGAAATTAGTTGCTTAAATCATAGTAAGGAAATAGAAGCAAGACTCAGGGTCACAGTAGGGCTTTTTGGCTTTTCCAGCCTGGTCCTGGACTGGGGGCCCCTCCTTGGAGCACCCTGGCTGCCCTGGACACAGTGTCCTGGATCAACACAACTTTTCTACTTTATGTAATGCAGCTACAGCTCTGTCAGGGACCCATTTTTCTGGTTCTCCCAGGTATACACAGGCCAGTGGTAGCAATGGTGGTGGTGGTGGTGATGGTGTACGTGCATATGTATGTGTGCATGTGCATGCTAGTACTAGAACTTGAAAGTCAGGGCCTCAAATTCTTGATCAGCTTTCTTGCTCACAACTGGCACTCTTCCACTTGAACCATGCTTCTGTTCTGGCATTTTGCAGGTTAATTGGAGATGGCATCTCTTTGTCTGAACTGTGAACACTGACCATTCTCTTTTTTTTTAGGTGGGGGGTCTGGTTGTAGGGCCTGAACTCTGGGCCTGGGCGCTGTCCCTAAGCTCTTCAGCTCAAGGCTAGCACTCTTACCACTTGAGCCACTTGAGTGGTGCTGTACCACTTCCGGCTTTTTTCTTTTTGCTTATGTGGTACTGAGGAATCGAACCCAGGGCCTCAGGCATGCAAGGCAAGTGCTCTACCATTGAGCCACCTTCCCAGCCCCATTCTTGATCATAACCCATTAAGGTGGTGGGAGCAGTAGAAAAGATGGAGCTGAGGTCAAACCCTGTCCCCACTACTTGTGTGGCCTTGGGCCAATCGCTTCATTTCTTTGCCTCTGTATCTTCAGTAAGATGAAAGTGTCAAAAGAGGGGTTTTTTGGTGGCATTTGTTTTTGTTGTTCTTTTGGTTGTGGTCCTGCAGCCTGATCTCAGGGGCTGGATGTTTTCTCTGAGCTTCTTCACTCAAAGCTAATGCTCTACCACTTGAGCTGTAGCTGCCCTTTCAGCTTTTGGCTGGTTGTTTGGAGATAAGCATCTCATGGATTTTTGGGCTGGCTTTAAACCACAATCCTCAGATCTCAGCTTCCTGAGTCGCTAGGATTATAAGTGTAAGCCATTGACTCTGCTAGGGTCTCACTGTACAGCTGCTATGGGATGAGTATTAGATGTCTGGACATAAATGCTCAGTGCTAGCTTTTTACTGTCATCAGTACTTGACAACACTGAGTAGCCATTGAACTCTCCCAGGTTCTAGTAGATGTCCCACAGAGAAGAGAGGTTCTGTGACATCACCACCCCCTCAAAAGTGAATTCAGATCCTCCATCGCTCCTGAGTTCTTTTTTTTCTGGTCGTGGGGCCTGAACACTGGGCCTGGACACTGTCCCTCAGCTCTTCAGCTCAAGGCTAGCACTCTACCACTTGAGCCTCAGTCCCACTTCCAGCTTTTTCTGCTTATGTGGTGCTGAGGAATTGAACCCAGGGCCTCATGCATGCAAGGCAAGCACTCTACCACTGAGCCACCTTCTCAGTCCCCCATTCCTGAGTTCTTACACCATGCCAGATTCTCAGACTTTTTCTTTTGGAGAACAGAGGTTAGCAAGCACCTTGACCACTTCTGCCAACTCTGGCTCCAAGAAAGCAGAGGGAAGCATGGACTTGAGTGCTGACTCCATTTACTGCTAGCTAAGTCTACTACTATCATTAACTCATCAGATCACACATCCCCTGGCCAAAAGAAAAAGGTAAAAAGGATCCTGAGTATGGATGGTTGCCAGGAAGTGCAAGCTGGACAAAGTGGAGGCTCTAGACCAGTCAGGTGAGCTGTGCAGAACACTGTGCTATTGCTTGGGGACCTCTGGGACTCTTTAGGACACAGTCTGTGTTAGACTGCTTCAAAGTCTTTTTTTTTTTTTTTGGTCTGGTCGTGGGGCCTGAACTCTGGGCCTGGGTGCTGTCCCTCAGCTCTTCGGCTCAAGGCGAGTACTCTACAACTTGAGCTATAGCCCCACTTCTGGCTTTTTTTTTCTTCTTGTTTATGTGGTGCTGGGGAATCGAACCCAGGGCCTCACGCATGCAAGGCAAGCGCTCTACCACTGAGCCACCTTCCCAGCCCCTGCTTCAAAGTCTTTTATGCTCCAGTCCAAGGACCCATGCATGGAGAGTTGGAAAAATATAGAACAGGGTGCTTCCCAAACTGCACTCTGGGGAGAGGAGCAGATAGATGCAGATAGATAGGTTTCTTACTGGAGCAAGACTGAGGCCCTTCGATTCTGGTTCAGGGCCAGAAGGAGATATTCTAGAAGGCAAGCATTATCTAGCATAGGATTGTTCACAGCCAATGGCTCCAAGATAATCACTTTGTATCTATGGAACCAAAGGATGTCCTGTAGAGATCCTGCCACCCCAACCTCACAGTGCAGCTGAAAACTGAGGCACAGAAGTGGGCAGACGGAGAGATGCTCAGATACTAAAAACAATGAAAAGTCAGTAAAATGAGCTTCTCTCTCCCTCTCTCTCTCTCTTTCTCCTTTCCTCTCTTCCTCCCAGTCCTGGGGCTTGAACTCAGGACCTGCCTGAGCTTTTTTACCCAAGGCTAGTGTTCTACCACTTTGAGCCACAGCGCCACTTCTGGTTTTGGAGTGGTTAATTGGAGATAAGAATCTCATGGACTTTACTTCCCAGGCTGTCTTTGTACTGTGATCCTTAGATCTCAGCCTCTGGAGTAGCTAGAATTACAGATATGAGCCATCAAGGCCTGTCAGAAACAATTTTTTTTTTTGGTCGGCCGTGGGGCTTGAACTCTGGGCTTGGGCGCTGTCCCTGCGCTCTTCAGCTCAAGGTGAGCACTCGACTGCTTGAGCCACAGCACCACTTCCAGTTTTCTAGTGGTTTATTGGAGATAAGAGTCTCACGGGCTTTCCTGCCTGGGCTGGCTTTGAACCTCGATCCTTAGATCTCAGTCTCCTGAGTAGCTAGGATTACAGGCGCGAGCCATGGGCGCCAGGCTAGAAACAAAAAATTTTGTTATGATTTTTAAACCTTTCATGTACAGATGGTACATGCCTGTGTCTCCTGTACCCCACCCCCAGGAGTTCACCTGGCCAAGCAGGGGTGAGATTCAAACTGGAACTCAGAGGTTCACAAACCAGGTTTGATGAATAGCTAGGTCTGGCAAGAAATGGCTGTGGTCCAGGCTCTGCCTAAGCTGAGAGCCCTAATGACCCCCTATGGAGAGTTGGTGTCCCAGTCAGACTCAGAGATTGGGTGGAGAGCCCCCAGCCTCTGTACGGCCATGCAGATAGGTGACCTGGTACCTGATGGCTAACCTGAAAAGGAAGCAAAGAGTTGGAGCATGATTTGAGCTAGAAAGGGGCAAGCTCAAGAGCCTAGTTGGCGCTGTTTGAGCGTGACTTTGCTGCGTGCATGCAGTATCTGCATAAGGTGATCAGATTCAACACTTAAGCCCTCCTTGCTGTTGAGCCTAAGGAGTAAGTTCTGGGTTATGTGCTTTGTTTCGACCTTCTTACCTCAGCCTCCCAAGTACTGTGTTGTCGGTGTCACAGGTGTGCACCATAGTGCCCAGCCGGCATGTGGCAATGTTACTAAGTTTCTGGTTGAGAAACTGAGGCCCCAGAGGGTACGTGATTTCTGTCAGGCTCTAAAAGCGGGTCCTTTCTCAAGCCTCCAGACTGTGTGGCCAGGAGGTTGCAGAGGGAGCGCACGCCTTGCTGGGCAGAGGGGGCGGGGGCGCGGCCGCTTTAAAGGGCGGCTGTTGGAGCTCGGAGGTGCTGGGTGCAGCAGCCAGAGTAGGGTCTCCCTTAAGAGCCTGCGGGGCTGGCCGTTCGGCTCCTCCTGGATCTGGCCAGAGAAGAAGCGGCTGCTGGGCCCCACCCGGCCAAGGCACCGGGGGCCAGAGTGGGTGCGGAGGGGTCCGCGCCGCCGCCGCCGCCGCCGCAGGTGTCAGCTCCCAGATGGCGCAGCACGTGCGGTGATGGCGTCTGCGCCCCAAGGGTCTCAGCCCTGCGCCCCGCGTCCCCAGGACAGCATGGATCGCCCAGAGCCCGAGCTGATCCGGCAGAGCTGGCGGGCGGTGAGCCGCAGCCCGCTGGAGCATGGCACCGTCCTGTTCGCCAGGTGAGCGCTGCCCGAGCTCCCGGAGGAGGGGGCTGCAGGGGGAGGGGTGCCCCTCCGGGGGTGGGCTCCTGGAGGCTGGACCTGCTGGGGGGGGAGAAAACTGACCCCACTGCGGGGGCGCGGCGGGGGGGGGCGGCTGCCAGATGTGCGCCAGAGAAGTGGGGCGCGCGGCAACCACAGCGTGTGGCGCAGCCCCTTCTACTCCCCTCGGTGCTGCAGGGCGCACACGCACACGCACACCCAGATGGGCTGGCTGGGGAGTGATGGGGGTCTGCCAGCTGCGCCCTCTCCCGGGGTCCCCACTGCTGCGGGTGTGAGTGCCCCAAAGGCGGGATGGGCAGAGTGGGCAGGCGCCTTCCCCACCCGATCGTGGCAACCCTTTCAAAGGAAGGTGCAGGTTAGGACCAGAGAGCCATGAGCCATGTGAAGAGGGGGAAACAGGCAGTGTAAACCCCGCTGCCAGCCCCAGCCCGAATGCCCTGTGTTACAGGGAACCTTGGCTCCAAGGTCAGACCCAAACTTCTGCCCAGGCTTGTGCTAAACCTCCCCCAGACCAAAAGAGCAATAAATTGTTTCACAAATAGCAAGTTTCACAGAAACATGAGTCCTCCTGAGGGGGGCTAACTGCCCCCCATTGTGCCTTCTGGGTTTCCCTGAACTCGGTTTTGCTCTGGCATCTTGGTGGCTCCCCTATTTTCAAGCATGTGACATTGGGGAAGTTGCTTAGCCTCTCTGTAGGCTGTTTCCTCCTCTGTAAAATTAGAATCAAAGTTATATCCACTGCTTTAAATTGTGAAAGATAGACAGTTACAAGGTTAGGAACACAAGAAGTTTTCAGGCACACCTGTGTATGTTGTGTATGTTACTAGCGATTGAACCCAGGGCCTTCTGCTTGCTAGATGAGTGCTCTACCTCTTGAGCTATGTCCTCTAACCCTTTTTGTTGTTTATATGTTGGTTTTGAGACAGAGTATCCCTATCTTTGCCTGGTCTGGCCTCCAACTTGAGATCTTCCTGCCTCCTCTCCTGAATAGCTGGGATTACAGGTGGGGTCCCCATGCCTGGCTAGCCGGTGATGTCATCGCTGGGCTGAGTCTCCCGGGAAGTTCCGTCCTAGAGCCCACTCCCCCAACTCAAATCACACCTCTCAACTATTTAGAGAGAGGTTACTGTGTGCCAGGGCCTGTGAGAGTCCTGGAGACACACTGGCTTCTCTAAACTTTTCAGAACCTGGGGAAAGGGAGGGACACTGGCACTGCTGGTAATTCCAGCTGAGGGGTGCTGTTGGCTTACTGCTGACCAGCTGGGACCGTTGGGTTCACTGCTTGCTCATGGGCTGGATACCCTCCACCCCCTACCCTGCAGGCTGTTCGCCCTGGAGCCCGGCCTGCTGCCTCTCTTCCAGTATGATGGCCACCAGTTCTCTAGCCCCGAGGACTGTCTCTCTTCTCCAGAGTTTCTGGACCACATCAGGAAGGTAAGGGGAGGGGCACCTGCTGCTTTCCCCCTGGGCTGGACCCAACCTGGCACACTGGTCAGCCTTTGGTGGCACCCTATCTTTAGCCATTGGCCACAGCTTCAGTCATTGCTCTCCCCTTTCCCCCTGATCTCTCAGCCCTGGTGGCAATAACCTACACTTTTTTTTGTGGGGGGGTCCGGTCGTGGGGCCTGAACTCTGGGCCTGGGCGCTGTCCCTCAGCTCTTCAGCTCAAGGCTAGCACTCTACCACTTGAGCCACAGTACCACTTCCAGCTTTTTTCTTTTTGCTTATGTGGTGCTGAGGAATCGAACCCAGGGCTTCAGGCATGCAAGGCAAGCGCTCTACCACTGAGCCACCTTCCCAGCCCCTACACTTTTTTTTTTTAATGGTGATCCTGAAATTTGAACCTACAGCCTCACACTCAATAGGCAAGCACTCTACCACTTGAGTGCACCCCAGCCCCAAACTGAGATTTACTTAGAAGCTGATTCTCCTCACAGGGCCTCAGTTTCCCCTTGTCCTAGGCAAACAATACTGTCTTAATGACATCTGGGAGGCTTTGACACTCTCAAAGAGAAGGCATTCATGTATTTAACAGCATTAGTTGGGCACCTACTGTATGCTGACATAGGTTATCTATTGCCCTTGCTCTTTGAATGCAGGGTGCTAAGGGCCTCTCTGGCCTTGGATTCTGGGCAATGGTTGTACTCTGGTGGGATTGGTCTGGGCCCTTGGTGAGTCCTGCCTTGCCCCTGGCAGGTGATGCTGGTGATTGATGCTGCGGTAACCAACGTGGAGGACCTGTCCTCCCTGGAGGAGTACCTAGCTGGCTTGGGCAGGAAGCACCGGGCAGTGGGTGTGAAGCTCAGCTCCTTTTCGGTAGGTGATGAGACTCCCACATTCTTCAGAGGACAAGGCCTGGGCCAGCACTCCCTCCTAGTCCATCCCCCCCCACCACCCTGTTCTCTGTGCTGTACCCTCTCCATCCCCCCCCAAGACCAGCACTAGGGCCCTGCATTGTGTATATGTCAGCTGTGTGCCCCTGGCGCTGTTTTGATTTCTCTGAGCTTCTGAGTTCTCACTGATCTCTTAGAACCACAAAAGCAGCTGGTCTAATCAGCTTTCTTTTGTTGGGTGTCAAACTACCCTTCCCCCCAAAAAAACACATTCTGGCTTAAAGCAACCATTTCTGATTTTTCACAGCTGGGCTCAGCAGGGTAGCTCTTCTATTCCCCATGGTATGGTAGGAATGACCCCTTTGAGACCTACCAGGAACTCTCCTGGGGGCAGGGAAACCAAGGAGGCTGGGAGTCTTTGCTTTCTCTCCCTCCTATGCAAGCTGAGCACTGCATGGATGGTTGCTGAGTTGCAGGACAAGCCCTAGGTTGCAAATGCATGTAAAGCCTCTGCCAGCATCACTTTCTTAGGTTCTATGGGCTCACCGTGGGGAGGGAGGGACCAGTGCTGTGATGGACTCTATCAAGCCCAACCACTTGGCAGATGGTAAGCCCTGTGAGGAAGGGGCCCAGGTGGTCTTGCCTGCCCCTCTATACTAGTACCTGCACACTGCCTTGTTTTGTTTTGAGGGAATCTTCAGCAAATACTTATGAGATAAATAAGCTTTAAGAAATGAGAATATGATTATTTTTGGGATATTATAATTATTGAAGGCTTATTGTATGAAAATGCTAATAATGTTTTTTGCCAGTCCTGGAGCTTGAACTCAGGGCCTGAGCACTGTCCCTGAGCCCTTCTCTGTGTGCAAGGCTAGCTACCACTTGAGCCAAAGTGCCATTTCCAGCTTTTTCTGTTTATGTGGTACTGAGGAATCGAACCCAGGGCTTCATATGCATGCTAAGCAAGCGCTCTACCACTAAGCCACACTCCCAGCCCCTGCTAATAACTTTTTAATAAGTTATCCCACTGCATCTCTCAAGAAGCCCAGGACTCGGAACTTTTACTTTGTTACTTGCTGAAGGCTACCAAGCTCCTAAGTGGTGATTAGGATCTGAACTCAGATCTATCTGGCTCCAGAGCCCAGGCTCTTTTTTTTTTTGGTCCGGTTGTGGGGCCTGAACTCTCGGCCTGAGCACTGTCCCTCAGCTCTTCAGCTCAAGGCTAGTGCCCTACCACTTGAGCCACAGTGCCACTTCCGGCTTTTTTCTTTTTGCTTATGTGATGCTGAGGAATCGAACCCAGGGCCTCAGGCATACAAGGCAAGCGCTCTACCACTGAGCCACCTTCCCAGCCCCCAGAGCCCAGGCTCTTAACTGCATGGGCTGTCTTGCAAGAGGGATCTGAGAGAAAGGAAAAATGGGCTGGATTTGAGGTCGGGGGCTCAAGGCAATGCTTTGGTCCATCAGTAGAGGATGGATCACAAGCTTAGGAGAGGGGTGAAATGCTTCATTTATTCCATAGCTTCAGATTTAAGGTAAAGGGCAGTGTGCTATCCAAGGATTAAGGTGGGATCCCTGGGCAGGAAAGAAGACTGGCCCAGCACGCTTAACCAGCTCTGACCTTGATGGTCTTACCTGTACAATGGAGCAATGCCTTTGAGATGATGGTGCCTCTTGTCTTTGCAGACAGTGGGCGAGTCCCTGCTCTACATGCTTGAGAGGTGTCTGGGCCCTGCTTTCACACCAGCCATGCGGGCTGCCTGGAACCAGCTTTACGGGGCCGTGGTGCAGGCCATGAGTCGTGGCTGGGATGGCGAGTAAGAAGCGACCCCTGCTTGGTTGTCCGCAGCTGTCCATGTCTGTCTACTGGTCTATGTCTGTTGTAGCCCAGGCCTCTCTGTGTCTTGGTCTTGTCCAGACCATTAGAGAGGTGATAGAGAGGGCTCCATCTGCAGGAGGAGTGGCCTTTCCTTCCAGAAGGGGCTCTGGGCTTCCTCATCCTTGTGGCCTCTTCCCTGCCTGCCTATTCACTTTTCTGGCACCCTTTCCTGCCTCACGAGACAGAGCAGAGCTTTGGTGGCGAGAGGGCCTGGGGCTGAGATGGAGAGACTTTGAGACCATAGGCCCTGGCCAATGTAGGAAGGAGCAAGGTGACCAGGCTTCACGCCCCTTCCATTTGGCCTGCTCAGGCGCTATGATGCTTCCCTGTCTTGGATTTCTGCTTTCAGGAGTCTGGGAGGGAAAGATGCTCTGTGCCTGCCATGCCATATTTCCAGGTCTCTTATTCCCCTGTACCCCAGTCATGTAGTTTCCCTTTGGCAAAACTACCACTTGTCCTCATTTAGCACTTCTAAGCGGAGCAACAAGGCCCCAGAGAGCTGAGTCCTGAGACTTCCCTCACTGTCCCGCTCCAGGAAGGCCAATTCTTCACCTGTGTCCCCTCACCCTTCTACTCATCAACTCTGCTTGGCAATAGGCCTACAACTGTGTAGTTACCATGTTTAGCACCCCTGGTGTGCCAGTGCTGGGGGGAACGGCAGGAAGCCTCCTGCCCTTTCCCCAGCCATCTGCACTCTCCCCCTCTTTGCTGTGGTTCTCTAACTCATGAGGAATAAAGTTGTTCTGTGTGCCTCTTTAACCCTTCTGGACTAGTCTCTTTTTGAGCCTTAACCTGGGGCTCAGAGCAGGGAGGGTGGGTCATGGGGCCAAGGCTAGAGGGGGTGGAAAGGAAACCAAGGCTTTGGGAGGTGGAAGGTGATGGAGATGGGTAAGGAGTCTAGGGTTCAAATGGACTGGCAGGCTATGAAATGCAGTTTTTCTCCTTCTGGGCAAATAGCTAGACCAACCTTCCTGACAGCTAGGGCAACAGAGGACAGTTCTGACCAGTGAGCCATGGGAGGTGGGGGAATGGTTCATCCAGCTTCTTCCTGTTCCTTCCTACTCTGTCATTCATCTATCAGCCTAGCATAGACATCACGGTGACCTTCAGGGCCATGTGCTGACAGAACATGATAGATAGAACTATAGAGCAAATGCAACTCTGCCCTGAGTCACGGCTTGAAGAAAGCTGACCACTTAGAACTGTAGATGAGACAGACATCAGCGTCTCTTGCATTTTGGGTCAGTTACAACACATAGCATGCTAGTTCCAACAAAGAAGCCACTTGTCAATCCACGGTTTGGATAGATGCTGGCTAGACAGCCTAGCCAGGGCACATGGCTCAAGTAGTACAGCATTTGGCTAGAGTCCATGAGGCCCTGGGTTCAATTTCTAGTGCTGCACACACAAATACCACCACCAAACAGTACACTTGAAATGGTTTAGTACAGAAGTCAAGGGAAAAATGGTAAAAAAAAAAATGCACAGATGAAAGTGAACAGTACAACTTGTGGGTGGAGATGAGAGGGACTGGAAGAGAGTGAGGGAACAGAAGACACTGTGCAAAAGGAAACATACTTATTACCCGGCTCTTGTAATCCCTTTGCACATCACCTTTATAATAATAAATTTTTTTAAAGTTCATTTAAAAAAAGCCAGACATGGGCTGGGAAGGTGGCTCAGTGGTAGAGCACTTGCCTTGCATGCCTGAGGCCCTGGGTTCGATTCCTCAGCACCACATAAGCAAAAAGAAAAAAGCCGGAAGTGGTGCTGTGGCTCAAGTGGTAGAGCGCTAGCCTTGAGCTGAAGTGCTGAGGGACAGCGCCCAGGCCGAGTTTAGGCCCACGACCGGACCCAAAAAAAAAAAAAAAAAAAAGCCAGGCACTGGTGGCTCATACTTGTATTCCTAACAACTTGGAAGGCTGAGATTGGGAAAACTTCAATTCAAGCCAGCCTGGTAGAAAAGTTCATGAAACCCATCCGTATTAGGTACAGTATATCAAGGCAGGAAGCAAAACCCTATTTTGAAAATAACCAGCAATCCAGGCACTGGTTACTCACACTTGTGATCCTAGCTATTCAGGAGGCTGAGGTCTGAGGATCCTGATTCCAAACCAGCCTACACACACAAAAGCTGAGACTAATCTGTAGTTAAACAGCAAAAGGCTTGAAGAGGAGATGTGGCTTAAGTGGTAGAGTACCAGCCTTGAGTGAGAAAGCTAAGGGAGAGCACAAGACTCTGAGTTCAAATTTCAGTACAAGTTACACACACACACACACACACACACACACACACACACACACACACACACACACACACCTGCAAAGATCAGGGCTGAGGAGAAAGCCTGAGGACCTAAGTTTAACCCCAGCACCAAAAAGTTTTAAAAGATAGTAAATTTTTGTTTACAGTATTTTATAATTTTTAAAAAAATTCAAGTGGTAGAGCACTAACCTTGAGCTGAAGAGCAGAGGGACAGTGTGGCCCAGGCCCACAACTCAAGACCCATGATCAACAACAACAAAAATTTGAGCCGGACACTGGTGTCTCATACCTGTAATCCTAGCTACTCAGGAGACTGAGATCTGAGGATCATGGTTCAAAGCCAGTCAAGGTCAGGAAAGTCCATGAGACTCATCTCCAATTAACCACCAAAAAAATCAGAAGTAGCATTGTGGCTCAAATGGTAGAACACTAGCCTTGGGCAAAAGAGCATAAGGACAATGCCTAGGTCCTGAATTCAAGCCCGACTGACCAAAAAAAAAAAAAAAAAATACAGATCATCTCACTCCTGCTGTGAATCCCCCAGTAACCTCCCAGATAGCTAGAATAAATCCATTGTGCTAATGGGGCCCTATTATGCTCCTTGCCTTCTTAGACTTCGCCTGTTCCTCTCCTTCCTTTGCCCCATCTGCTCCAGCCTCTTTGGCCAGCTCGATGCTCAGGCCCTCAGCTTATTCCTGCAGACCTACTTATTCTTCCCACATCTGATGCCGGTGGACTTTAGATCTAGCAAAAGAGTCCCTTCTCCATCTCCAGTCACTCCCCTGCCCTCATCCTGCTTGCTCTTCCTTTAAAAGCACTTGGCCCCACATCCCATTACATAATTTGTTATTGCCCTCAGGGGCTGCTATGGAATTAACTGCTGCTTGGTGCTGTGTGTGAAGAGGAAGGACGAAGAGTGGAGTTGAGGGAAGAAGTCAGCCAGAAGAGCCCCCGAATCCTGCTGTGGGGCTCTTGACACAAGCCATGTGATTCTTATTTGCAGAACAGGACCGTGGTGACAGAAGCTATGCTAGAGCTTAGGTCACCTGGGCTAAAGCCTCCATGGCATGTGGTGCTTGAGGCTAGGGTTGTTTGCCTTACCTGCTCGCCTCTCCCTGCCTGCCTGCTAACACTCAACTGGGGCCTTCTGTGAAAGATGTGATCCGACAGCATCCTAGAAATTTTGAGTCCTACAGGGCAAGTCTTGGGCACGGGGAGGATTTCAGAGCTCTGAGGAGGATGGGAACCCCGCCAGTTAGGGCTTCAATAGGGAATTGTATGAGCGGAGGGCTTCACACTTCCCAGGAAGGCAGTGTACTACTGGAGCCACACCACCAGCCACAAAAATGTTTTTTTTTTAATTTTGAACAAACCTGGAGTGTATCTTGCTGGAAATGAGTTCCCCCTACCCCCCACCCTGGGCATTCCAACCTGCAACTGAGCCAGCAAGGGGGGGATCCTCGGGACCGACCTGAGCTGCTTCCAGTGGGATAATTTTGGCAGGATGACCAGGAGCAGCTCCTGTTGGTCCTAGGCTTGGCCTGGGCTTTCCTGCTTCCTCTCAGGCCTGGTGTGGTACCAGCATGACACTCAGTTAAGATGCTGAAATGCCCTTGTGGGCCCAGCCCAGTGGCCAGCATTCTGGTCCTCCTTAATAGGAGGCGTCTTGTGCGCAGGCAGCTGGCACAGGCCCTCTGCCCAGACAGTCGTTTCCATAGTCCATCTCCACTGAAGCAGCTTGGAGGATCCCAACCTGGCTTGGAAGAGAACTGTCTTATGGGGAGAGGACCCAGGAGGATGGGCCCTGGCCTTGTGCCCAGGCTTGTGCTGCAGTGGGTATTGAACCACACCCACTGATGGACTGAGAGGTCCCAGCAAAGGTGGTAGCAATGAGAAGTCCTTGGGCAGCTGTGGGCTTGTCATCCTTTGTGTCCCTCTCCTCTCCAGCCATAACCATCCCCCTAGGTGGCCCAATCTCTGTTCACTAACAGGGCAGCCGGTGGACCTTGTGTTCTCTCACTGCAACTCCCACTGCATCTGGATGAGGTGGCAGCTAGGGTTATCTGGCTGGCTGGAGGAAGGCTGAAACCATGGCTCAACCGAGGCAGAGAACTGTTTTCTATTCCTTGCCAGTGTGACAACCTCTACAAAGACCAGTCCTTGTCTGGATGCACCCTTTCTCTTCCTCCAGCCTTCCTTGGCACCCCCCCCACCTCCCCCAGGCCACTCTTCCTGAATACCTGTATCAGAACCTACCCAGCCACTGGCATAAGTCAGTTGCCCTCTTACGGAGTCCACCATTTGCCCAGGGGGCCCAGCTGCCTAAGGCAAAGCTGCCCTTCTGGCTTTATGGGCAAGCTCAGGGACAGACTATTTTTACTACTGTACAGCAGAGAGATGCAGCCATGTGCTGTCTATACAGCAGGCTATAAATTGGGATCAGGGTCGGAGATCCCAGAAGGTGTAGCTTTATCCCTGGGGTAAAAGCTATGTGGTGAGGCGTGTTGCCCCAGACTGGTGACCTGGGAACACTGACTCTTTCTGGGTGGAGGAAAGGCCTGTTGGCCTAGCCCAGATGTAGAGGCACGGGCTAGCAGAGGTTGGGAGGACTTGTTTATTCAAGGCACAGTCATAGCATTGATAACAAGAAGGTTCAGCATTCTGGCACATTCCTTTAGTAGTGGTGAGCCATTAGTCTACAACCCCTCCAGGACTCCCAGAGGACGCAATGCTGCTGATAGGCACTTTGCTTCCAGAGGCAGCTGGGGGTGGAGGGCAGGGGTGGGTTTGCTCAAAAACTGCTGTGGGGAGCCCTCTAGGTCTCCAGACCATTCTGGGTCCCCCAGGAGGGGGATGGATGGCTGTGGTATGGGGTAATGTGGGATGGTGGTAGGCAGAGGTCAATGGACTGAACACAGGTGGGAGGGGCATGGCCAGAGAGGGCCCAGATGTGGTGTGTGCATGAGGATCACTGTCCCCGTCACCAGTGACTCTTGGAGGCTGAGGCCCAGACAGATGGGCAGGACTGTGTCGGCGACCCCAGGTCTGTGGAATGAGCAAAGAAATAGTCTGCCATTTTCCCAACATTCACACCCAAAGCGAGGCTGCACTTGATTCAAATTCACGGTAGACGTCTCCAGCCATCCTGTCATGTGGTCTGTGGAGGGTGGGGGTGAGGGGCCAGCAGCCACAATCCACAGGGCCGCACAAGTGCCTCTGGCAGCAAACCCACACCCCTACTTTACAATCCACGCTAGCGGATCTGGCCAGGCAGGTGGAGCTCCCTGGCCACTGGGCCACAAAAAGATGAAATTCCAGGGGGAGGGGTCCTGTGGGACCACGGGGCTAAGCCCTGGGGCATGGCACACCTATTTCTCCTGTAGAATGAAGGTAGGAGCAGAGGCAGGGGCCTAGGTGACCTTCATTTAGGGCAGCCACATGCCGGGAATGTGCTGCAGATACTCAAGTGTGTCAGG